ATTTCAACCATCGAGGATGGGATCACACGGATTCCCAATCACTCTGAAGCAAAACAAACCTGTTCAAGCTGATCCAAAACATGACAAAAACATCACTGATCAGCCACAATCTTCCACACACTTGGCCAAGAACAGTCGGCATCATATTTGACGCCGTCATGTGAGGCTCAAAATGCTCATTCCCAACCTTGGTGCTCTGTCATGGGCATTTTCATCGCTGTCTGGTTCTTGCAAGAGGGTGTTGGCAAGGTGACAAAGTCACTTCTCCCTTTTGGCTATAGATTGTAGCAGGTTGGCGTGAAATTGCAGGTGCTCCACCAAAGCAGAGCAGTCTACAGAAAGGCTCTTGGAAGAACACTTCTGGTGTCCCACCTCAAGAAACATTCAGCCTGACTGCAAAATCTTATTACCACTAGACCTTCCGGCAAAGTTTTCAGGCAGCAGTTTAAGGCCAAATCGCTTCTAGACCTTCCGTAAAAGGTTTCTGCTCAATTTGAGAGACTTAAAACTTTTTACCGAAGTTCCAGGTTTTTTCTGAGCTTGGCGCTGATGGCAAATGCTGTTTCCTGCTTCTCCAGACTCCAAGACGCTATTGGCACGTTAACTCTCTAATTGAAGGCTTCCAAACCCTGGCGGCCTTCTCCTGCACCTTTTTTGTGGCACGCTCTCTCTTGACCACATAAAACCGAAACGCAGCTAAACCAAGCCCTTACGTTTTTTCATTGCAGACACTTTTCTTTGAAAGAGCTTCGAAGTTTCCCTTCAAGCCTCTTGCCTCGACTTCAAGGGCCCCTTTCGAAGCCTTACAACACCTTGGGTTCGCGATTCCTCTGGCTCTTCCAGGAAGGCATAAATTTAAGGTTGCGTTTTTGCTAGATGTCGTTTCTCTTTGGCAAAGAGGGCTTTGAAACCTTGGAAGCCGAAGGGTCGAAGGGGAAGGCAAAGAGGGGAAGAAGACGTGACGAAGGCTTCAAAGAGGCAAGGACAAGGCTTCGAAGGCTTTGAAGGTGAAACGAAGGCTTCGAAGGGTGAGGACGAAGGGGGCTTCGAAGCTTTCCAAGGTGAAGACGTCGAAGACTTTGAAGGCAAGAACGAGGGAGCTTCGAAGAAATTCCCTGCTCTTCTCTCTGATTTTTAAATGCGGCTTCGAACTTGATGGGCCCATCACCTTTGCTAGGGGGGCTTAACGGGGGGCTTGAGAGGGGAGCTCAAGGGGGGGCTTAAGGGGAGGGCAAAGGGGGGCTTTGGAGAAGACCCTTTGGGAAAGGGGGACTTAAAGGGGGCTTTGAAGGGGGCTTCAAGGAAAGGGGGGGCTTAAAGGGGGCTTCAAGGGGGCTTTGTCACAAATTGGATCTGCGGACAGGTTTGGTGCAGCTAAAGTCACGACCAAAGATGGCATTGACATTCCTGTAGAATTCAACTACGACAGTGAAGAAAAGAAGAATTGAAACTCTCGGAACCGGTCATTTGGGACATTACCCGTGAATTCCTGAAGAAGCCCAAAAGATTGGTTGAACAAAGAGATGAAGTCCATGAAAGATGGGTCAAGAGATGGAAAACAGACACGGATTTGCGGATGAGATTGGTAGTCCAGGGATGCTATCAGGACGCACAGGCATTGGACTCCGACACGCTGTTTGCGAGCACGCCGTCATTGGTCACGCTACGCATCATGCTGATCATGGCGTTGGCGCGCAATTGGTGCATTAACCTTGCAGATGTGTTCACAGCATTCCTTCATGCGCCGATGACTGAAGACATTTTCATTTGGCCACCGACTGAGTACTACCCCGATTTCAAGTGCCTGTGGAAATTGAACAAAGCTATGTATGGCCTGAAACAAAGCCCTCGATTGTGGCAAGAGCATTTTGCCAAGGTCATGGCTAAGCTAGGATTCAGACGATGCAAGTCTGACGGGAACTTGTATTGTCATTCGTCCAAGCAGCTGTATGTTTTGGCCTACGTAGACGATTTGCTGATTGTTGGAGATTCTGAGCAGTCGAAGTCGTTCATTGAAGCCTTAGGCAAAGAACTGTTGGTGAAGATCACTGGCTCATTGGAGCCTGGAACAGAACATTCGTTTCTCGGACGTCGCCTCAAGCACAATGGCGATTCGATTGACATGTTCATGTCGCAGGGTTACATTGAGGAATTGCTTAAGATCTACCAAATGGAATCGGCAAACAATGTCAATACCACTGGCACGACCGCATTGAAACGCATGCAAGACGCAGACACGCCATTGGTGTATGTTGCGCAGTCCGCAGTGCGTCGACAGCTTGTGTCCTTTGTTGTGTCCGATACATGTGAGTTGAGGCAGAAAGTCGATGCGTTCTGCTTGTGTGTTTTGGGGCATGATTTACAATACAGCGCCATTTTGTTACAGGACTTGGGTGCTGCCTTTTTTGTACGTTGCGCAGTTCACAATGCGTCGGTGTAAACATGTGTGTCGAGAAAGAAGCCAGCAGTCTTGCGTGATGTCATGTAGGCGTGTACTAACAACGCCATTTTGTTACAGAGTTGTGTGCTGATTTTTCTGCACGTTGCGCAGTCCGCAATGCGTAGGCAGCTTGTGTTTTAGGTCCAGCACGTGTGTGTTGAGGTTTGCCGCCGGGTGCATTCTTGCTTGCATGGTGTTGGTAGGCATGTACAAACAGCGCCAAAATGTTACAGGACATGTGTGCTGACGTGCGTGTTGGGCAGGCAGGCGGGGGTCGACCGCGTGTGTTTTGGGTCCATCACATGTGGGTTGAGGCAGGGCTGTGGATTAAAAACAGCGCCATTTTGTTTACTGCACGTTGAGCAGTTCCCAATGCGTTGGCAGCTTGTGCTGTAAACATGTGTGTCGAGGAAAGAAGCCCAGTGCATTCTTGCATGGTGTCAGGTTGGCGTGTACAAACAAGGCCATTTTGTTACAAGAGTTGTGTGCTGATTTTTCTGCACGTTGCACAGTCCGCAAAGCGTTGGCGCTTGTGCTTTAGGTCCCACACGGGCGTGTTGAGGTTTGCCGCCGGGCGCATTTTTGCTTGTTTGGTGTTGGTAGGCATGTACAAACAGCGCCAAAATGTTACAGGACATATGTGCTGACGTACGCGTTGGGCAGTCCGCCGTGGGTCGACCGCGTATGTTTTGGGTCCATCACATGTGAGTTCAGGCAGGGCTGCGCGTTCTGCTGGCATGTTTTTGGGGCTGTTTGAAAACAGCGCCATTTTGTTACGGGACTTGTGTGCTGATTTTTCTGCACGTTGAGCAGTTCGCAATGCGTCGGCAGCTTGTGCTCTAGGTCCGAAATCTTTGTGTTGAGGCAAGGAGCCGGGGGGAATTTTGCACGTTGTCAGGCAGGCGTGTGCAAGCAGCGCCAGTTTGTTACATGACTTGTTTGCTGATTCGGTGCAGGTTGCGCAGTCCGCTTGCATGTTTTGTTTCTTCTAGATGTGGTGTGCTGATGAGCGTTCGGTCGCAAGTCCATTCTGTACCATGTCGTTGCTTAACCTGTGTGAGTGGGTGTGTGTGTGTGTGTCGTTGTAGAAGGTCTGTGAGACGTTGAAGCGGGCTACCTCGAAGACATGTTGAAGCATCGAGCTTCAAGAATTGAGTGTTGTGCATGTGCTTGCGGAGTCGCAAGCTAGACTCAGATATTCTCAGCAGTTTTGGCGTGATGTATGTCGAGCCCCTCTTTAGAGGGGTGTTTGTGCATCTCTGCTGTACATGCGAAGGTTGTGCATCGAACATGTCGCTAAGTACCGAACCGCAGTAGGGAAATTGCTCTGGCTAGCTTTCGTTCGGCCGGATTGCTCTTACGCTGTCAAGGAACTGTCGCGTGATGTGAAGTCACCTACATTGGAAAGCCTAGCTAAGCTGAAGCATTTGCTAAGGTACATTGTAGGCACGAAGCAGTCTGTTCTACGACTACGCCCGAGCCAGATGCTGGCCGATTGGCGCTGTACCCTTGACATTGCTTGCTACGTAGATAGCGATTGGGCAGGCTGTTCTCGCGCGCGGAAGAGCACCAGCGGAAGCACGGTGCAGGTTCTTGATTGCGATGTCATTCACTTCTCGAGGACACAGGCCACTGTGGCATTGTCTTCTGGAGAGGCTGAACTGTACGCTATTGGCCAAGGAGTGAACGAGGCATTGTTCGTAAAGAATCTTGTCTTGGAAGCGGAGTTTGCGCGACGTGTGCAGATTGTTGCGTACACCGATTCTACTGCAGGTAAGAGCATGGCTACTAGATTTGGCGCTGGAAAGCGTACCAAGCACGTAGAATTGCGCTACTTGTACATGCAAAATCTTGTACAGAGCGGATTGCTACAAGTCCGCAAGATAGGAACCAAGTTCAACCCGGCGGATGTATTGACCAAATACGTTTCCACCGAAACATTGCACAACCTCATTGGGAAGCTTGGATTGGTCAGGAACCAATTTCGATATGGCTGAGCACTGGATCGAAAAAAAAAATTGTTTCACTTTTCCTTTTGTTTCCCCGCCCACCCGACCCTTCGCCCCGCGACGTTACGCGGCTTGGGCCATTGCATTGCTTTTCCGGTCCTGTTTGAGGGACCGAGGAATTGTGTCGTTTTCGCTTTGACCTCCGCGGTCTAAATTGGATTGCGTTGAGCATTGAGAGAAAGAGAGAGAGAAGAACATTGCTGTCTTGACAGTGCATTGCAGTCGCATTGACATTCTTGTCACATGTGCAACATGTCAGTGCTGCATTGTGCGTTGTGCATTCAGTCATGTTGTTTAGTGTTTATTGTGTTTAAGATTGACTTTAAGAGCATCGCTCAACCGCCGTCAACCGCATTGCGGATAAGAGCGACCGCAGTGAAAGCATTGCGGTTGGGTGCGCAGCTAGTCCGCTATTGAGCGGACGATAGCCATTGAAACGACATTGGCAAACAAGGGACCGTCAAGCATTGCAATTGAACAAATTGCTCCTTCTGACTGTCATTGTACATAAAGCCCGAAACCCTGAATTGATTTTCCAGTGAGCGGATTGCATGAAGAATTGGTTTTCTGCAAGTTTTGAAGCATTGATCACGCTGAACTGTGGCTCACATTGCGTCACATTGCGATCACTCATTCGGGTCTCGGAGCCTAGAGCATTGTGTGCATTGCGCCTTTTGAACACTGTCCTTTCTGCAGTCCGTAGATTGGCACCCCGCAGGTGTGATTGCCCCGATTGTCCCATTGGCTGGCTTAGATCAGTTGAAAGACGATTGCGAGCGCCTCCTGAACGAAAGCGCGATGCAATACAGGGGATTGCAGGAGATCCTGTCTGATGCATTGGCATTGCTCCCCACAGAGACAGCATGCCTTCCGATCATTCGGCGGATTGGAATTGACATCGACACAGCGAAAGCGCTTTTGGTGAGGATGAGACTGATTGAGCATTGCATCGGTGGAGTGCTGCTCACCAATGCCAGCCTCAAGACATTGGAGCCACAAGCTGGATTGAATCCATTGAGGCTTGGATCGTACGCGACCTGCCTCAAAACGGAGGATTGGCCCAGTCCAGCGGGCGTTGGTCCTTCCGTGGGATTGGCATGGCTCATTGTCGCTTACAGTGCGCAGGCTGGAATGCGCATTGGTGCAGTCCAACATGGGTTGCCATTGGCATTGGTCACTGCTCAGGAAGGAATGGTCCCATTGACCATTCGCACGCTGCAAGTTCGCAATTGGGTCATTGTGTCCAATCACTGGCAGATTGGAAGTGAGATGATCCTGGATGGCTCATTGATGGCGATGCCCTTCTTCCTGGCATTGCCAGAGTCATTGATGCGAAGCGTGGTGGCAGACGGCGTCATTGCATTGGATGGTTTTCCGTGTGGTCAGGCAAATGCCTTCACCACCATTGACCAGGCATTGGTGAAGCTCCATCAGTGGTGCGATCAGGTCCCCTCCATTGAGGCAGGATTGCACGAAAATGTCTGGATCATTGGGTACCACCCATTGATGTCCCGATTCCCCACGGTCTTGAAGAACCCCGCCACGGGAAAGGGCGGATTGTTGCATTGGCACAACCAGTCTTACTGTGGCCATTGCTTGATCTTGGAAGCCATTGAAGATGGCAACTACCGCCTGAACCCGATGGAGCTGTTGACTGCGATGGTGGTTGACACTCGATTGTCACTGAAGGCCCTTTTGGACGGATTGAATTGGGACTTGAGTGGCGCAACGGAGCAGTTTTCGTTCCACCGCCACATTGCCGTCCCGACACGCCTGAGCAAGCTGATTGGTGCAGGACGCACCGCAGGCATTGGCTCGTCGGCCATTGCTGGAAGTGCAGTGGCAAGGGCCATTGGCGAAGGCCAGATTGGCAGCTCCGAGCTCACGATCGCGAGCGGAGGCAGCCGATTGAGGATTGCCCTCAACGTCCACCAGATGGACTGATGCCTCATTGGCATCCAACAATTTTGAATGGCCTGGAAAGATGAGATTGCATTTGATTGGTTGTTGCTTCGACGATTGGTTTTACAGTTGATGCTTTTCATTGGTGATGATGTGGTTTTTTCACTTGCTGCAGCTCATTGGACCCCGATTGGAAACTTTGCTGACCGTTTCTCAGGACCACTCCGTGTGGTGTATTGATTCGGATGCATTGGAGCATTCGGTATGCCAACAGAACATTGCAGGTTTCGTTGCAAGTTCTCTTTTGAAGCGATTGCGATTCGCTTGCAAAGCAAAAGGATTGAGCCGAGTCTCTGAGTGCATTGTTCACTGCTGAGCTGATTGGTAGTCGTTTGCAGTTGAGATTTTTTTCGACGTACTCCGTTGATTGGTTGACTGAATCTTTGTTTTACGAAATCATTTGAATTGTGACTGGAGAACAGCACAGACAAACATTGTCTCTGCTGAGGGACCGTGTTAGAATATAAGGTCACAATTGGCATGCTTCCAGAGAAGCATTGGCACAGCGACATGCTCAACATGAGCATTGACTCGGTGCTTTGGCTCAAGGCGGCACAAACAAGATTGCTGAGTGAGTGATTGCATCAAGTGACTTTGCTGTGCATCTTGTGTATTCTGGATTGTGTGATCAAACCAGTCTGTGAACATTGATCTTGTAAAATTTCATTAAGGGGGGGCTTAAGGGGGGGGGGCTTTGACCCTTTGCCCCCCCCCCCCGAAGGGACCCCCTTTGCAGGGACCCCTTTGAAGGGGGGGCTTAAGGGGGGCTTAGAGGGGGGCTTAAAGGGGGGCTTAAGCCCCCCTTTGCTTAAAGGGGGGGGCCCATCCTCGCTTCGAAGGTGAGAACGAAGAAAGAAGGGCTTCGAAGGCTTCGAAGGGTGAGGACGAAGGGGACTTCGTCCTCCCTTCAAAGCCTTCGAAGCCCCCTTCGTTCTCATGAGCCGAAGGGGGGCTTCAGACCTTCAGTGCGAAGGGGCTTCGAAGCCCCCCCTTCGACTCTTCGCCTTCGAAGGCTTCGAAGGCTTCGAAGGCTTTGAAGGGAAGGATGAAGCCCCCTTCACAACTGAAGCCCCCCCTTCGTGAAGGTTCTCGGATTCTGCCTGCAGAGAAATGACCTACCTGCAGTTTGCTTGAGAACCTGGAGACCAAGCACACAGTGCAGGCTCGCAGTGAGAAACCTTCTTGCAGGCTCTGTGGCATCCAAGCTGCAGCTCAGAGCCTGCTTGCAGTCTCTGCAACCGCTAAAAGCTGCCAAGAAGCCAATTGCAGAATTCGTTCTCCAAAGCGGGTTTCTGGGAGTGTTGGGTTCCTGCGGCTTGACCTGCAGGGTCCGTGTTGTGCAAGTTACGCATTTTAGATCCATGTCACTCAACTGCTCCGCGCAGCAGCCGTTTTCTCTTACACACGGTTAAGAATGAAGGCTGGCGCTGTTGGGCCTGCAGTCTCACAACAGTTGCGCCGCGAAACGTGTCCACGGACTGAAAAAGACAGTTTTTGGGGAACGTTTGCATTTGCGGGACTGGCCAAGAGGGCCTTCTTGGCAGCCAGAACTGCAGCAGAGGCTTCTGCGGATGAGGTTCCGGGGGAGAGTTTTCGGCAAGGAGAAGACGCAGTGCGACACTAGAGCATGAGTCATGCTCGTGTCAGAGTTGCTGGTGCGCTGCGATCTTCTCAGATGGACCTCCGTTGGCAGACGGAAGCAAATTTCATTCTACAGGTCCAGAGATGGCGAGCTTTTCAGGGTAATGATTCGTGGATAGCACCCATCGGCAAGATTGTGGAGCTTGCTGCAGGTTTATGACGGAAGCGCAGCTGATTTGGAGATAGGGAGATGAGGTAGAAATTATCCACATGAAAGTGGAACATGGCCTTTTCCGATTGAGTGACATGATTTTGCAACATGCGCTCGCTTTCACAGGCCTACAGATCCAGGCAACCATGAATGACCTGAAGGAGTGCGAGGCGCGGCAAAAAGGGGGCGAAGAATCGTGAATCTTGCACGGAAGGTGTTTGAGCAGGCTGGGGTGATTTTAACCATGTTTTGAAAGCGCTGAGGGCAGCGTGGGCTCCACGGCACTTTATTGGCAAATTGGAATTTGCGAGGACTCCGCCGATTCCGCCGAGGCTTGTCACGCCGACTCCGCTAGAGCCACAGTCGGTGCCCTCTGATCTTGAGTAGCGACGCCGCGTAAGTGGGCAGGGGTAGAGTTGCGGGAAGAGCACATGACTGTAGCTTGAAGTGTGTCAGAGAGTGGAAGCAGAGGCAGTGTGCGCGTGAGGCTTGCAGCTGTGATTCTGTGACCTCCAAATCTGGGGTTGAAAAATCTAGGCAACTCTGGCTTCGTGTGTGTGGGCCTCCCCTGTGCAAGTTTCTCTCATGTTGATCACTTCCAGTCCACAATTTCCGACGATGATGTGCTTGAGGTCATCATGAAGGCAGACATTGAACCACAGGAAAAACGCAGAGAATGCTTGCGTGCAGTCCCTGTCGCATCCTGGCTGCAGACTGCCGAGAAATCCGGTTCTGGGCAGGTCCTGCAGCCCTTTCGCTGCAGACTGCCTGCAGTTCTCTTGTTGGCCGGCTTTGGCCAAGTTTCAGGGACAGTAATGGGCTCATAACCTATCGAGTTATGACCCGGGAAGGGTGTGAGTGCTGCTGTGGTAGGGATGTGCTGGTATGTGGAGTGGCTCGGGACTTCCTGTGGTGTCGGTCACAGGACTGAACTGATCGGGATACTTTTATTCTAGGGGTCGAAGGAGATGGGAGTCTCTCCTCATCTATGTTCGAGGCCTTTTTAAGTTCTGACGAGACCTCTTGCCTACCCAGAACCTAATAGGGAACAGAGGAAACCACACAACCAATCCCACACAGGGTCCTACGCTGGGGCTGAAGCCCTAAACAGTAGGGTGTTGGGCTACAACAGATGACAAGCAAGTAGGATGGGATTAAGGTTAACCCAACCCTTCGTGTTTTGTCCCACCTGGAGAACGAGATGAAGTTTATATGATGGAGTCGAGATAATGAGATGTCAAATGGAAATGCAAATGCTTCCGTGATGCTACTGCTGATGCTGCAGCTGCGGTGGCTGCTGCAGCTCTTCCAACGAATCCCAAAATCTTTTGAATCTCAAAATAGCCAGCTTCTGCCAATCCCAAAATCTTCTAAATCTCAAGATAGCCAGCTTCTGACAAAGTGCAGCAACGAAAGAGTCTCCTTGATGCAGCAAATGCCAATATGCCGACTGTGCAAACTGCCTGCTGCTGCTGCTGCTGCGACGAATGCCAAGCTGCTGCTCAGCTGTATGTCAAGTCCCTCGAAACTCCAAGGGGAACCCAAAACTTAGAGGAACCCCTCGCTCTCACACTCTTTTTGTTCTTGAGCCAACTCATGCATCCAATGCATGTCTTCGCGTGACTGAACATGGAGTATCTGGCATGTTTCAAACAGCCCATAAGCTTCCGGTTTGCGATTTCTCACCCTGCTGCTCCCAGGTCGCAAAAGCCCATAGGGCCTCAGTTTCGCGATTTCTCTCCCTGCGGCTCCCGGTCCGCCATAAGCTTCAGTTCGCAATTGTACTCCCTGCTGCGCCCAGCTCCCAAGTGGCTAAAGGGCTTCAGGTTCGCGATTTCTCTCCCTGGTGTTTCCCGGTCCGGGGAGCCCATAGCGTCAGGGTCGCGATTTTGGCTGCGCTGCTCCCTGGTCTTGAGGGCCCATGGGATTCAAGTTCGCGATTTCTCTCCCTGCAGCTCCCAGGTCCCAGAGACCTCGGGTTCGCGAAAGGTTAGCAGGAAAACCCACTATCCCGGTAACCTATCCTTATGCAATTTGCAGGGACTGGCCAAGAAGCGGCCTTCTTGGCAGCCTGCAGCTTGCTACTGGGCCTGCTCTCAGCATGTCTAGTCTCCAGGTCCTCAAGCGTACGGAGGTAGGTTTTTGCTAAGTGGCACACTTGCTCCCCATTACTCTTACTGCCCCGCGCAGCGGCCGATTTTTTAGCACCCTGACCAAAAAGCAAACCCACCATTCCTGAGATCCAGCCCAGAGCCGACCAACAAGAGAACTGCCAGGCAGTCTGCGGCGGACTTCTCGGCAGCCTGCAGCTGAGATGCTGCAAGGACTGCACGTAGGATTCCTTGCAACTGGGACTGCTCCTGGGTTGGGAGAACCCACAGCCTTCAGGTTCGCGATCTCTTTCCGCGCTGCTGCCGGGTCCTGAAGGCCCATAGGCTTCCGGTTCGCGATTTCTCACCCTTCTCAGCCTTAGTTTCGCGACTTCTCTCCCTGCGGCTCCCGGGTCCGGGAAGCCATAGGCTTCAGGCTCGCGATTTTACTCCTGTACGGCGAAGGGGGCTTCGAAGCCTTCGAAGCCTTCGAAGCCGAAGGGTCGAAGGGGGGGGGGGGGGTGAAGGTCTGAAAGGCTTCGAAGGTGAGGACGAAGGCTTCGAAGGCTTCGAAGGGTGAGGACGAAGGCTTCGAAGGCTTCGAAGGGTGAGGACGAAGGGGCTTCGAAGGCTGGGGCTTCGAAGGCTTCGAAGGCGAGGACGAAGGGGGGAGGGCTTCGAAGGCTTCGAAGGTGAGGACGAAGGCTTGGAAGGCTTCGAAGGGTGAGGACAAAGGGGGGGGGGGGTTCGAAGGCTTCGAAGGGTGAGGACGAAGGGGGCTTCGAAGGCTTCGAAGGTGAGGACGAAGGGGAATTCGAAGACTTGGAAGGTGAGAGACGGGGGCATCTCCAGAGTCTCACTTCTCTGAGTTTCGAAGAACGAGATCCAAAAATGAGATCCAAAAAAAACAAAACAAGATTCGGGGAGGGTGGAATTTAGAAGAAGTCCCTTCTCTCTCATCTTCAAAACGAAATTACAGGCCTTCGTTCTCTTCGACAGGCTTCGAAGGACAACAAGAAACTGAGGGGGGTGGAACTTAGAATAATTCTCTTCTCTTCTCTACTACAGGCCTTCGAAGGACAAGAAATTGAGAATTTAGAATAATTCTTCACTCTTCTCTTCCACAGGCTTCGAAGGACAACAAGAAACTGAGGGCGTGGAATTTAGAATAACCCCCCCCGGAAAGCTTGCCTCGAAGGGGGAGCATGCACCGATCTTAGCACAAGTCAACGCTGTCGGAAACCTTCAATTTCCAACTCTTCCAACAAAAAAACCGCTTCTCAGTCGAAGCCTTCCAAGCTGAGTCCGAAACCCCAAATTGCAGAAGCGATGGTTTCAAAAAGCTTCGAAGTTCAAAGGTGAGAGCGAAGAGGCTTCGAAGGCTTCGAAGGCAAGGACGAACGGGGAGAGGCTTCGAAGAAGGCTTCGAAGGTGAAGACGAATGGGCTTCGAAGGCGGGGGCTTTGAAGGCTTCGAAGGGTAAGGACGAAGGGGGCTTCGAAGGCTTCGAAAGTGAGGACGAAGGGGGCTTCGAAGGCTTCGAAGGCGAGGACGAAGGGGGAGGGGGCTTCGAAGGCTTCGCTTCGTCCTCCCTTCGAAGCCTTTGAAGCCTTCGAAGGCCCCTTCGTTCTCATGAGCCGAAGGGGGGCTTCAAACCTTCAGCGCGAAGGGGCTTCGAAGCCCCCCCTTCGATCCTTCGCCTTCGAAGGCTTCAAAGGCTTCGAAGGCTTCGAAGGGGAGGATGAAGCCCCTTCATCAACTGAAGGCCCCCTTCGTGAAGGTCCTCGGATCCTGCCTGCGATTTCTGTCCCTGGTGCTTCCGGGTCCGGGGAGCCCAAAGGCGTCAGGGTCCGCGATTTTGGCTGCGCAGCTCCCTGGTCTTGAGGGCCCATAGGCTGCAAGTTCGCGATTTCTCTCCCTGCTGCTCCCAGGTCCCAGAGGCCTCGGGTCCCCGGTCTCTCTTGAACCTACCAGGCACAGCAGGGAATCGACTCAGTCGACTCAATGTAGAACATAATGGATCGGCATATATTTCCCCAAGTTGTAACCCTGGCAGAGAAGAAGTGCAGATGCGCCAAAGACTCTCCAAATGTAACCGTGCAGGCTGCACAAGCGGAAAATCGCAAGGCAGCTCCCAAAGGAGATGAGCTGGGAAGAACAAACGGGGGCCGCCAAGCTCTCGGAGAAACATTTACGCAAAGACACTCTGCGCTCAGCCTTCCAGCGTGACGCCAACTGGGCTGGGGCAACCCAGCGACTGAGATGATCCGCATCCACATGTTTTGGACCACTGATGTGGCTGACATCCAAATGTATGCCCGTTAAGCTGGAAATCAAAGCCAGACGTTGAGTGAATGCAGCCAGTGGCCAGGCTGTCGTGAAAAGACTGTTCGACGAGGCCTCTGCCCCAGTATTGTCACACCAGGAATGAATACGAACGGACGGCTTAGAGAAGGGGAGACCTGACCCATTAGCCAGACCAATGCAATTTGAGCCAAAGCCTCGTAGCAACTTATGTCCCGACTAGCCTCCGAGCGCAGTGGAATTTCCGAATGCAAAGTCCTGGACCCGAAAATGTTCCGAAAACCAAAATTCGTCAATCGTGGGCTGTCACAATTTGGCCACCTGACGGGGTAAGAGAAAACAGCAACTCGTATGGTTGGGTCTGTGGAGTACGGTGCGCTCTTTATCGGTACAGCACCACGTTCAATCTTTTGCATGCACCCCTCAAAGACGCATGTCCGAAAAGAGGGTCATTAGGGGTTCCGGGTTTGGGAGCTCAGGTCCAGTTTAGGTGCCGGCTCTGGGAGTTCAGCTGGCGGATCGAGGGTTCGAGGGGTGTTTAGGGGCTCTGGTTTCGGGTTCAGGGTTTTCAGGGTTTAGGCTCTAAGGTTTGGGCTTGCATCGCAGAATATCGCAGACAAATATGTGGGGGTAGAGCAACATCTAACTTAAAGCATATCGACAAGCCTACCATGGCCTCCTTCCTTCTTTCCCTGAGCTTTGCCTCGCGCCTGGCTGCTGCGGTGCACGTGGCATTCATCGCACCCCCGGCCTCCCACTATGCGCCGCCCGGGCCTGCAATGAAGAGAGTTGCATGTGGTATGTACGTGCACATGTATGTATGTATGTATGTATGTATGTATGTATGTATGTATGTATGTATGTATGTATGTATGAAATGTATGTATGTATGAATTGTATGTATGTATGAAATGTATGTATGTATGTATGTACGTACGTACGTACGTATGTATGTATGTATGTATGTATGTATGTATTTTACTTAAAATAAGGTAGTCTCATCATCTTGTAGCCTAGCAGTGTCGTGATACCTTTGAGAGGAGCCGTATGGTACACCAGGCAAGGCAGCACCCAATTGAGATTTGGGTACCTCAGTGATACGCGCCCACTCCAAGATTCCGTTCTAGTATGCAGTAGAGTCTTGGGTGCGGAAATGAGGCTGTGGGATTTAGGCTAAAGGGGGGGGGGGGGGGGGGTGCGTGTGCGTGTTACGGGCAATAGAGACAGTGATGCCCCGCGTTCCAAGATTCAAAGCTTTAGTTGTCTGTGGTTCTTAGTAGGGAATGAGGGAATGAGCCCCATACAATCCCTTCAAGGGTATATATATATATATATATATAGAAAAACATATCTATCTATATATATATATATGTATATATGTTTCTGTGTATATATGTATATATGTATATATGTATATATGTATATATGTATATATGTATATATGTATATATGTATATATGTATATATGTATATATGTAGATATGTATATATGTATATATGTATATATGTATATATGTATATATGTATATATGTATATATGTATATATGTATATATGTATATATGTATATATGTATATATGTATATATGTATGTATATGTATATATGTATATATGTATATATGTATATATATATGTATATATATGTGTATATATGTATATATGTATATATGTATATATGTATAGATGTATATGTATATAGTATATATGTATATATGTATATATAATATATGTATATATGTATATATGTATATATGTATATATGTATATATGTATATATGTATATATGTATATATGTATATATGTATATATGTATATATGTATATATGTATATATGTATATATGTATATATGTATATATGTATATATATGTATATATGTATATAGGGCCTCAGTCCCTCATTCACTACTAAGATCTACTAAGAACCAGGGGGTTGAGTTATCCGGCGCCGGTGCAGGCCGATGTTGCCCATCGCCCACGGCTTGCTGGATGAGGGTCATACCGTAACCTTCCTGGCCCACGACGAGACGGTCAGGAAGATCAAGAGCCTCGCCATGGACTGTGAGAGGGTCAGACTGTAAGGTTTAGGGTTTAGGATTTAGGGTTTAGGGTTTAGGGTGTAGGGTTTAGGGCCCTACACCCTACAACCTAAAGACGCCAGCAACGAGCATCCGCATCCGCCTCCAGCTGCAAACCAGCAGATTCTGGCTTACGCTGTAAACCTTACTGCCTTCAACACGTAATCCTAGACCCCGCGAACGCCGGATGTTGATGATGATTGTCAAACTTGCGACAAAGAATTGCGCTCCCACTATCCCACGTGACTGTCCCACGTCTTTCTTGGCCTAGACCTTAGACCCTGGAGCCCAGGCCCCAAACCTCAAACCCAAACTCTAGGCCCTAAGCCCTGGGCCCCAAGCGCCTAAGCCCTGAACCCTAAACCCTAAACCCTAAGCTTTAACACCCTAAACCCTTCTTTGGGCTGAGGAAGCTGGTCCCGCAGGCCTCCCTGGTGGACATCGGGCCCTCGGGCATCGACCGCGAGAAGATGGCACCCATGCAGCTGCTCGGCTTAGGGCCCGACTTGGGGGTTTAGGGTTTGAGGGTTTAGGGTTTAGGGTTTAGGGTTTGGGGTTTAGGGTTTCGGGTTTTGGGTTTTGGGTTTTGGTTTTGGTTTTTAGAGGGCATCTGGGGGCTCAGGGCTGGGGGTGTAGGGTTGAGGGTTTACGGTTTTGGGGCGGTTGAAGGTTTAGGGTTGAGGGGTTTTTCGGGTTTGAGGCCTAGGGGTTGGGGTTCGGGTTTTTGTTTGGGGTTCGGGGTTTGGGGTTTGGGGTCTTGGGCTTTGCGCAGAGTCTCTCCACGTCGGCTGATGCGTGATCTTCCAGCACATCTTTCCCCGGATTGTAGTCACCCTGAAATCGTTTGATCCCGAGATTGGATAAGTTGCAACAAGACTCCGCAGGGGCCCACACTCCGTCCTGCTTGACCCCCCCACAATAGACACGCGTTCTCTAAACCCTAAACCCTAAACCTTAAACCCAAAACCCTAAACCCTAAACCCTAAACCCTAAACCCTCCGAGTTCCCGGGTCGCAAGCGTGTGCGCGCTCAGGGACTTCATGCAGAGCCTGGGCTACGGCGTGGCGCAGGTGCTGACCTCCATGGCCATGCCGATGCTGGGCAACCTCATGGGAGGCTTCGTGCCCCTAAACCCTAAACCCTAAACCCTAAACCCTAAACCCTAAACCCTAAACCCTAAACCCTAAACCCTAAACCCTAAACCCTAAACCCTAAACCCTAAACCCTAAACCCTAAACCCTAAACCCTAAACCCTAAACCCTAAACACTAAACCATAAACCCTAAACCCTAAACCCTAAACCCTAAACCCTAAACCCTAAACCCTAAACCCTAAACCCCAAACCCTAAACCTTAAACCCTAAACCCTAAACCTTAAACCCTCAACCCTAAACCCGAAACCCTAAACCGTGGCACCCCCGAAGCCCGGAGCCCTGCGCCCTAAGCCCTATGCGCCTTAAAGACACCGATCCCGACACCCGAATCCTGGACCCTGAACCCTCAACCCTGAAAGCGCTACCCCGAAGGAAACCCTGGAAGTTACACCGTAAGCCCTAAGCCCTAAGCCCTAAGCCCTAAGCCCTAAGCCCTAAGCCCTAAGCCCTAAACCCTGAACCCTGAACCCTGAACCCTGAACCCTCCCAAAGCCCGCGAGCTGCCCCCTGGCGTGGCTCCCAGGCCCCATGGCCTTAGCCATGAAGTCTCCCCTGATGGAGCCATGGCCCAGTTTGAGGGTTTGGGGTTTAGGGTTTGGGGTTTTGGAAAAGGTTTGGTGTTGCGGGGGTCTGGGGCTTAAAAGGGGTTTAGGGCAGGTTTTTGTGTTTTGCTTATGTGTAGAGGTCGTGTTCAATCATACGTGGGGTTAGAAGTACCCCAGCTCAGGTTGCAATGTAGGTTAACAACCTATGAAATTCCAAGCGTAAACCAGGATAAGTTCCTTCACTCCATACATCCCATATACACCCCTTCTTCACCCCTTGTCAACCCCTTCTAAAGCCCCTTGAACCCCAACCCTCTAACCCGAAATCCCAAACCCTACAAGCCCGTCAACCTTAAAACGCCCTCGGCCCGGACTCAGGAGATCAAGCCCGACGTGCTGTGTGTGTCTTACATTTATCCCGCCTTCTACGCCTTGGGCGAGGTGCTGAATAGGGCTGCTCCTACAGCTTCGGGCTTAGGGTTGAGGATTGAGGGATGGGGGGCTCCTTCGTTTAGGTTTCTTCATGGTGTAGGGCTACAGGCTAAGCCCTAAACCCTAAACCCTAAACCCTAAACCCTTATGTGGATCCACAAACTGTGATCCCCTGCAGGTACTGGGGATACCCGTGGTCGGCATCGGTTGGGGCACGCCGAGCTGGCTGACGTCCCAGATGCTGGGCTAAACCCTAAACCCTAAACCCCAGGCCCTAAACCCTAAACCCTAAACCCCAGGCCCTAAACCCTAAACCCTGAACCCTAAACTTTGAACCCTAAACCCTAAACCCTGAACCCTGCACTGAAGGCCTAAAGTGAGTGCGTCACGAGCCCAGGATTGACCTTCCATGGGCTACAGAGCCCAACGTGGGGTCCATCCACTCACGCCAGGCCTTGACAGCCTTTACAACTTTTCGAGTGAGGGCTTGCAACCCTGGAACCCAAAACCCAAAACCCAAAACCCTCAACCCAAAACCCTAAACCCTAAGCCCTAAACCCTAAACCCTAAAACCCAGAACCCTAAACCCTAAACCCAGAACTCCAAACCTAAACCCTGGCATCCTGGTTTTGGTGGGCAGTGGCTTGTGCTCCCAGCTGCGAGCTCTTCAGAGTGTGGGTTAACGGTTCATGGTTCAGGGTTTAGGATTTGGGGTTCAGGGTTAGGGTTTAGGGTTTAGGGTTTAGGGTTTAGGGTTTAGGGTGTAGGGTTCAGGGTTTAGGGTTTAGGGTTTAGGGAAGAGGTCTTGGTGCTTGCACCAAGTAGGAGTGGCAGTAGCTGAACTCGCCAGTGGAAGTAGTGCTAGGCTGAGGACTCGCTTGCAGAATTCTTCAACTCCTTGAAAGCACCGAGAACCCCTTCATAAACGTCAGGACGAGTACTAGCATCGCAGCTCACACACCAATGTAAGCAGCGGCACGACGGCTGAACCCCGAACAAGCCCCAGGAGCTCTACGACAACGTCTTCTTGCTCCTGGAAAACACAGCCGTGCGCATCTTCGGATTCGTCGCCCTGCGCGCCTGGATGGTCTTAGAACCCTCTGTTGTGCATCCACACCCCGGGTATTCTCTCCGCACGGTAATCCGCTGTCCGCCAAAAGCCTTCCCCGCAATATGCCTCAGGAAGTGCCCATCCGTACAGCAACAGTTTACCCGTCGTTTACTTGTGCAGCAATCAGTCATGGCGAGTTTAGGGTGACAGCGCGGCTCTGCTAGGCATCGGCAGCACGCTCAACATGCAACTGGGCGGCCATGGAAGTCGGTTGAAACCCTCTGCTTTCGCGGAGAGAGAGAGAGAGAGAGAGAGAGAGAGAACGAGAACAGTATTAAAGGTTCACAAAACACGGCAGAATCTGAAGAGAATCAGAGGAATCATAATCAAGGCCATGATGCAGGGTACTTGAAGGGTCTTGGGCAGTTGGGGCTAGTGGCGGCTAGTATGGATAATGACCTCAACAAGATCATGGTGTGTTTGCTTAGTGCTTCTGCCTCTACTTGACAGTGGACCTCCAGGAACTACTGCTGCTAGTCATCCTAATGCTGTTAAACGTATTTCGATGCTAGTAGTGATATTCGTACTACAGCTCCTAGTACTTAAAGGTTCACGGGTAGTTATACGCGGGGTAACAAGTAAGGTAACTATGGTAATAGCCTTATTTAGGGCACTTACAACCCCACTTATTACTATCCATGAACCTTCAAATAGTCCCTACTCAATCTCTAAACCCTAAACCCTAAACCCTAAACCCTAAACCCTAAACCCTAAACCCTAAACCCTAAACCCTAAACCCTAAACCCTAAACCCTAAACCCTAAATTTAAACCCTAAACCCTAAACCGTAAACCGTAAACCCTAAACCCTAAACCCTAAACCCTAAACCCTAAACCCTAAACCCTAAACCCTAAACCTTAAACCCTAAACCCTAAACCCTAAACCCTAAACCCTAATCCCTATAGAAACTGTATGTGGTATCATTCTGAATTTTCTCAGGTTGTTTGTCTAAACAGCTGACAAGCAGAGTTTAAGTACATTCATCCTCAGCGCCTGGGCGGCCAAATGCTCAATTTGCTTAAACCTCTGGGCCTTCCCACCCAGGAGGCCAGCCAGGGCCGGAAGGCCAAACAATATACATTCGATTCGAAAACAGAAACTTTCGCTCAAAGCTTATTGGGACCGCCTCCCCCCCGCGCCCTTGCCCCCTATCCGAACTTTCGCTCAAAACTTTCGTTCAAACCTTGCCTCAAAACTTTTTGGGACCCCCTCCCCCTCCCCCTGGCCCCCTAACCTACTGTATGGGAAAGAAACGTTTCGCACAAAGCTTTCGTTCAAAACGTTATTGGTGCCCAAGCCCTACGCACTTTCTATAAACCCGAAACCCTAAACCATGAAACTAAACCCTCAAGGGCAAGGGCGTCAGCAGCCCAGGAACCCTAAACCCTAAACCCTAAACCCTAAACCCTAAACCCTGAACCCTAAACCCTATAGCCCAGGTACTTCCGCTATCAGCTCGGGCATCCGCGGCCCCTGGAGGTTCGGTCGGCATGCCAAGATTTTCGGAGCCCCTAAACCCTAAACCCTAGACCCTAAACCCTAAACCCTAGACCCTAAACCCTAAACCCTAAACCCCAAACCCCAAACCCCAAACCCTAAACCCAAAACCGTAAACCCTAAACCCTAGACCCTAAACTCCACACCCTCAGAGACCTTGGAAGGTCTGGGAGTTTGACGCCGTCCTGCAGCACCCGGCAGTCATCACCACCCTCCCAGAGTCTTGGACCGCCACCCCAAACGACCCTGAAGCACCTGAAGCACCTGAAGCACCTGAAGCACCTGAAGCACCTGAAGCCCTAACCCGAATTCCCAAACCCTAAACCCCAAACCCTAAACCCTAAACCCTAAACCCTAAACCCTAAACCCTAAAAAAAAGGTTTTTTTGGGTGTATAGGGGTTTGAGGCGGTTTTACCGGGGTTCACAGGGTTTATAGGCTTTTTTTGGGACAGTAGGGTTTATAGGGTTTATAGGGTTGATAGGGTTTATAGGGTTTATAGGGCTTATAGGGCTTATAGGTGCAGTGTCCAGCATTCGGTGTCTAGCCTTAAGAGAGAAAAGGGGAAAACTGGCTAGGCATATGATATGTCCTTCGACTCCAGTAGGGGAAGAGCTTCTTCCTTTCACATGATGCTACTTCCTTTCATTTGATGCTACCTCAACTCCAACACCCCGAGCCCTAAACCTTGCACCTTTAAACCCTTAACCCTCAACCCTCAACCCTCAACCCTCAACCCTCAACCCTAAACCCTAAACCCTAAACCCTAAACCCTAAACCCCAAGCCCTAATCCCTGAACCCGAAACCCTAAACGAGAGCTGAGGAGCTGACGGCCGGAACGGTCTGGAGCCCATACACGCCTCTCGCCTCACGCATTGCCCTCCAACCCGAAACCCTAAACCCTAAACCCTAAACCCTAAACCCTAAACCCTAAACCCTAAACCCTAAACCCTAAACCCTAAACCCTAAACCCTAAACCCTAAACCCTTCTTTGTGGTGGCGACTTGGGGGTTGATGGTTTCCGGGTCTGAAAAGGGAACCGTTCTGTGGACAGCTTCCTGCTTAAAGGCTTCACACGCAAAGCTTTGATAAACCCTTAAAACCCTGAAGCTTACATTTGTGCACCTTAAATCCTAAACCAGAACTCCTCCCAGGTTCACCGTGGGAATCTTGGACCACCCGGCCCTTGAAGGGAGCGGCATGATGAAGAGTGATGACCAGGACATGTAGTTGAAGGTAGGAAGGTAGCGGAGGATCAGCCTCTTCAGTGGACTTTGGTATTTCTGTTGCATCTATGCGTACGGAAGATGAGTAGGCGCTCTCAAGCCAAGAAGATCCCCCATAAGCCCCCAAACAAACCCTGAGCCCTGAAACTATAAATCCAAAAGCCCAGTTGAACCCTAAACTTACCGAAAACAGCTCGGTCTACTACGGGACATTCGGACCATTCCAAGGAATGCGGTCACTGGAGCTATAGTGTGCGATCGCGCGTTGTGTAGCTGGTAGTGTGTAGCCTGTGGAGAATATGAGCAGTATAATATCGCTCTCCGAATTATGGTTCTGTTGATGTGAACCCCGCCCATGTTAACCCTAACCCTAAACCCTAAACCCCAAGCCCTAAACCCCAAGCCCTAAACCCCAAACACCCTAAACCCCATATGTCGTATGCTGCAGACCCGTCAGAAAGGTTCAAGCCCCTGAAGCCCCGTGCTCCACCTGCACAGTCCCCTTATGTTAACCCTACCCCTTGAACCCTAAACCCTTAGCCCTAACCTTGAACCCTAAACCCGAAGCCCCAAACGCTGAACCCTAAAGCCCATAAAAGCATGCTCCGAGGAGAAGATCGTGTCCTGGCTGGACGAGCAGCACCGGGCATCAAAGGAAGTCCTCTACGTGGCCTTTGGCTCCGAGGTGTGACCAGGGGTTCAGGGTTCAGGGTTCAGGGTTTAGGGTTTAGGGTTTAGGGTTTAGGGTTTAGGGTTTAGGGTTTAGGGTTTAGGGCTTAAGGGGGCGGTTGAAGGATCTAAGGCACTCCAAGCCATATAAAGACGACCCCCAAACAGGGGAGACTCTCGGAGAAGGATTGGGTAGCGTTGCGAGCCTTGTTCAGGTAGGCAATGGATGGAGGTTCTCCATAGCACGCTGCCTGCAAGGTCCGCCTGTCCAAGGCGCACGCCGCACTTTTGGTGGAGACGTTCAAGAAGGGCGGCTTCACAGTCCTCTGGGCCTCCAAGGTGAAACCGGAGGTGCCTATCCCAGACCACGTGCTGGTGACGAAGTTTGCCCCGCAGCGCGCCGTCCTGGCGCACCCCGCGGTCTTCGGCTTCGTCTCGCACGGGGGGATGAACAGCGTGAACGAAGCCCTGGCTTTCGGGAAGCCCCTGGCCATCATGCCGTTCTTTGCGGATCAGATGATGGTGGCCGTGCTTCACAGAGACCTGGGGGTTGCCGTCATGTTGGACAAGACGGCGGCCACGGCCGATGACCTGGTTGCGGCCATCCGCAAGATTTCGACGGAGCCCTTCCGGCGCCGGTCACGTGAGATCAAGGAGCTCAACGAGCAGCGCCGGGACATGTCCAGGGCTGTTCAGGTCATCGTCAACCAGGCAACTGGAAAGTTCTACCTGCACACCCCGCCGTGCCCAAACCTGCTGCTCCGGACGATTCCCCTGCTCGTCACCCTCGTCCTTCTTGCGACGTACTGCAGCTGTTGCTGCTGCGTCCGGGTGCGCCTGCAGAAGCCATGCTGGTGCTGCTGCGTCGGGAGGTCTGCGCCGCATGTGCCGCCCGCGGCAAGCGGCTCGAAGAAGAGGCAGTGACCCGGCCGATGCGGAGGCTGGGCAAACCGGTGCTCCGGGTGCACGGCCCCACCAATTAGGAGAAAGCTTTGAGATCCGATTGCAGCACCTCGTGGCAGCGGAAGAGGGCGTCGAAGATCCTAGAGTCCTACGAAAGAGAGACCTAATAACTGCCCTAAATGCTCAACGCCCCAACTGCAGCTCACGAGCGCGGCGACAGCCACGCCGCGATGAGGCTCTGGGGCTCCAATCGGTGGAGATCCTGGGGTAAGCTTTCGCATCGTAGCTCGAAAGCTTCCCCCGGGTTGCAGATGCAGGATCTAGATTCTGAGGGGAAGTTCTGTGCAGGGGGTTAGCGGTTGCTTGGGCTCGGCAATGCCTACGCTCCCTCCTCTACATGTTTCGCATGTTTCAGTCGAAGGCCCAGTTGTGTGTAGCAGCTCCAACTCTTTGTCATCAGCCACGAGCTGCATCATCCTTTTGAAGTTTACCCACCCACCCGGCCAATGGGTGCGTGGTGTGCTGCTGCACCACAGGGCCCACGCGTTCCAGCAAATACGAGCCGCTGCTGCACAGTTTGTGTTTGTTTGCCGCATGCTGGGCCGGAGGGAGGATGGCTTCAGGTTTCGGGTTGACCGTTTAGGCCTGGGGGTTTTCGGGTGTCGGGTTGAGGGCTTGGGGTTGGGGCTTCAGAGCCCTGATCCCTAATCTTCAAACGTTCTGAGCTGTGGGGCTTGCCGGGTGCATGCGAGCTTCACTCAACCGTTAATATCCATTCACCAGCTTCTCATAAATCAACGCAGAATCCATCAACGATACGCCTTTTGACGGTGATGGACATCGAACTAGCGCGGGTGCCATCGCCGAGCTTCGACGTCGACTGCTGGTTGAAGTTCGCAGCAAAGCTTTCTCCAAGCTTCACAACCATCGCTTTGTGATGCTTCTTACCACCTTCACCGGTCGATTTTTGAAGTAGCTGCTTCACACTGACTACAGCCTTACACTTCTTCTCCCTTCGTCGGGATTCGTGCGGTGCGCGCTAGGGTCAGTTGGTATTGTTCCCATCATCTTATCTTCTTGTAGCTCTTGGACAGAACGTAAACGACCAATCGCTCCGTTGACTTACCTCTCCTTCTTCAGTTGCTGCCGGCTGAAGCAAGTTGAGTGGCTTCAAGATCTTTCCACCTGTGTCAGAAGAAACTGCTTCGTGTGATTTCTTGCCCCGCGCTGTGTTGCTTGCTACGTAGCAAGAGAAGAAGAGAGAACGTGTGCTGGTGCATTCCTTGACTTTGGTTCTATTCAGCCTTTTTCCATTTTCGATGCTGCTTCTGATTAATTTCGCTTTTATTCGGATTTGATCGCAAAGTGCCAGAGAAACAAGCCGTTTCATCCGGCGCATGCTTGGAGATTATGCGCCATCTTGGCTCAAGTTCAAAAGGAACATGCAATGCAGGCATGCAGCTGAGGCCCCAATCATCATGAGAAGTTCGAATGTTCATGTGGCAAAATATCTTCAGCCCCTTCCTGATGCCCTTAATAAACTCCGAACGGCAGAGGGTTGCTGGTTCCATGTCTTCTGTGGCAAGAAGTCGTGGCATGTGCTCAGACCCAAGCTTCCTGATGCCCTTTCCAAAAGAAGAGGGGGGGGGTCCTACCCTTCATAAGGGGCGTTCTTTCAAGGAACGTGTATGTGAGTGACTGCGTGGGTGTGCGCGCGTGTGCGTCAATGTATGTGTGTGTGTGTGTGTCCGTGTGCGTGCATGCACGGGTGGTGTCCACATGCTGGGTACGCCATCCGCCAAGGCGTATTGTGATGTCACGAGCCCAAAATGTTCCAGTCACATCTTCGCGACAGCCTTACGACAGCAGCGTGCGTCGTGTGCTGCATGGTTGCATTCTCGCAGTATTCTTGCTCCGGATGCATCAGTCTAAGCTGGCTTTGCTTTGAGTTTGAGCAAGAAACAAGGCGTGTGGAGCAGGACTGGGCCTCGGTCGAACCTGGTTTCTTGGGATTGCTTGTGGCTTTTCGAGTTCGCTGTTGCGTTGTCTTCGAGAGTTTTCCTGAGCAGGATGCGAGTTTGACAAGCAAGAATGCCTCAAAGGACCCTGCCTTGTTCTGCAGCGTGAGTGTCTGCTTGTTTCTTGCAGGAAGTGGTCAGCAAGTTTCCGTCATCCACCTGCCCTAAACCCTAAACCCAAAACCCAAAACCCTAAACCCTAAACCCTAAAACCCTAAAACCCTAAAACCCTAAACCCTAAACCCTAGACCCTAAACCCTAAAACCCTAAACCCTAAATGTACAGTGCATGAAGCATCGCGCAGGCACTGCAAGAAACATCGCAGCCCTCGATGGCCCGCATTCTGCGGAGCACTGAGTCGGTAGGTTGGGAGACTTCGATGGTTTGGTGGTTTAGGGTTTAGGGTTTAGGGTTTAGGGTTTGGTGATGCCCTCTGTGTGCAAGTCAGTTTTCGTCCATGATGTGTTCTCTTCAGCAAGCAGCGGCTCAAATGCACAGCAAACACAGCTTATATGAATCAGGTGCAGGAGCTTAGGCTTTCGCAAAGTGGGGGTTTCCGAAAATACACCCCCAAATAGTAGGATCCCCTCATAATAAGGATCAACAAGGCACCCCTAATTTGGAAAATCCCAAGTCTTGAACGGGAAGGAGGACATTGGGAATCTGACTGGTCTCCACATCTGACATGGCAGATGCTCAGCCAGCCAAGCTGTCCAAAGCAGTCACTTGGCATGAAGGGGGGGGAGTTTAGGGGGTTTTAGGGTTCAGGGTTTAGGGTTTAGGGTTTAGGGTTTAGGGTTTAGGTTCCGTGATTGTTGTCGCGAGCGCACTCGCAATGCTGGGAATGCCGCATGATCATGTTCTTCACTGGTGCATGTCAAACTGTCGCTTCTTCACTTTGCACAGAGAGCTAAACCCTAAACCCTAAACCCTAAACCCTAAACCCTAAACCCTAAACCCTAAACCCTAAACCCTAAACCCTAAACCCTAAAGCTGATGCTCTTGAATCCTGGGTTTCTGCACTCAGGTCAGTTTTCAAGCCGCGGTCGGAGCTCCCCTGGAGATTGAGGTCGAGGAACCTGAGGAGCCGGATGCCAGCCCGCGGGAAGATTGGGAGGTGCGAAGTGGTTGGAGGTTTAGGGTTTAGGTTTTAGGGTTTAGGGTTTAGGGTTTAGGGTTTAGGGTTTAGGGATTGGGAGGTGCGCAGTGGTTCGGGGCGGCCCGATGAGCGACGCCGTTTTGGCTTTTGCGCGGTTTGGGGTTGTTTCGAGCCGGGGGGTGCGGTGCGGCTGACACCGCACAGTGTATTGTATATGATACCATAATATATTGTACTATACTATATTATGTTATACTATATTATATTATATTATCTTATCTTATCTTACATCATGTTATATTATACTATATTATATTATATTTATATTGTATTATATTATACTATATTATATTATATGATATTAATATGATATGATATTATATTATATTATATTGTATTATATTATATTATATTATATTATATTATATTACACTATATGATACTGCATGAACTGTACTGTATTGTATTGTACTGTCACAGAGTCTTGGCAGAGGCAAGCGAGATCGACTCGAGTGCTTTTCCGTCGACTCCCAGCTCCAGCGATGAAGAGGCGGGAATCGTCCGAGTCGATGGCCGGCTTTAGGGTTTAGGGTTTAGGGTTTAGGGTTTAGGGTTTAGGGTTTAGGGTTTAGGGCAAGATCATAGTTGAGGCGGACAGCGCAATAGTTGCTGGTTCAAGCAGGTCTGTGTTGGATTTCCACTGATTTCCAGGATTTGTTTGTTGCGTTTTGCGGCTTGTTAGTTTGTAGTTTTGTTTCTGCTAAGTTAGACATGTGCTAGTTGGACATGTGCTAGTTAGTGTCTTGTCGATGATTTCTTTCTGCTGTGGCTTCTATGGTCAGGGATGACGCAACGCGCCGACATGTGCGGAGGAGTCCAAAAAGAAGGAATTTCTCCATGACCCGTGATGCACGAACCCTAAACCCTAAACCCTAAACCCTAAACCCTAAACCCTAAACCCTAAACCCTAAACCCTAAACCCTGAGCCTTCACGTACGTGTGAAGCAGCTTCGCAGACCGGAACCTTCGGTCGGGTTCTCGTCCCTTGCAGGGAATTTGGGGCTGGCGTGCACATCTCATCTTGGATGCAGTGTGGATCATGTACGGATGACGTGCCAGGTCGTAATGTCGCCAAGAAGATCTTCGGTGAGTTCGAGGGTCTCGGACGCCGATTGGTGGCTCCGATGATTTGATCAGTGCATGCACAGGTGAATGCCTGCCTACGCTTGCATATTGCCGTATGTTGTCCTAGACGAGAGCAATGGGCTTCGAGGAAGGCCCGAATTCAGCAGAGCGCCCCGAAACCCTAAACCCTAAACCCTAAACCCTAAACCCTAACCCCAAACCCTAAACCCTAAACCCTAAACCCTAAACCCTAAACCCTAAACCCTAAACCCTAAACCCTAAACCCTAAACCTTGAGCCGCACTGCAGGCTTCGGTCCGGTGAGCTCTACCGCCCGCCGCGCTGGGCCACGAGGACGGAAAGCTGCTCAAGAGCAGCGTGCAACCGAGTGGGACAGAGTGCAAGAAAGATAGGGGTTTAGGGTTTTAGGGTTTAGGGTTTAGGGTTTAGGGTTTAGGCCCCGAATATTATACCCCCCCTACCCCCTAATATTAAATACCCCCCATGATAGTTGTATTACAGTATAGTGGGGGTTTTTCATATTAGGGGGTAGGGGGGGGTTTAGTATTAGGGGGAGGGGATTAGTGGGGTAAGTGCGTGCGGTCTCCATGAGCAACAACCAGTAGCGACCAGCCTTCTTGCGTGGCTGTTTTTTTTGCACGAGCTCTCTCCAGCGAGGACTCTTACCAGCTCAGCATTCCTCGTCTTCAACGTGGCCTTGATCATGCTGAACACGTTCTGGCTTGGATCTTTTGCGGCACATTTGGGGTCTTTAGGGGTTTAGGGGTTAGGGTCTAGCGTTTAGGGGTGAGGGTCAAGTTGCATGACGGCAGAATCTGATCAGGCTGTGACGTGGGCATGCATGTTTCTGGAGAGCCGTGCCAGGTATCCAAGCAGATGGCATCGTCATGTTCAGACAGCAAGTGTTCGAGAACATGGATGTCTATTACGTTGTCGAGAGCATCTTCACAGGCCTTCGCTCGATTTGCTGTTCCGGAGTTGACTTCCGACGGATGGCAAGGAGATGCTTGGGAGCATCACATAAGAGACTCCCCTAGCCTGCTGGGAGGCCTTTTCTTGGTGGAGCTTCTGATCCGCCTCCTGCACTTCGCAGCTCGCCTGCATCATATGGAAAGCAATGGGTGGCGGCCAAACGATTTACTGAGGAACTTTAGCAAGTGAGTAAGAAAGGCGTATTGTATCGCGTCAGGCAAAATCCTTTCGCAAGTGAGGAAGAAAGGTGTGCTATGGTGTGCTGCATCGCGTCAGGCGAAATGGCAACTGTGGAAGGATCCCCTGTTGCTGGTAGACGTCGTGGTGATTGTGATCCTGGGCACTTGGAAATAAGCCTGGGCCCGCGGGGGGGCCACTTTGAATGGGCTGAATCAAGGCAGTTCAAGGCCTTTTCAGGGAGCCCCAAGGACCGGGCAACTAAAGGTCCTGCAGTCTCGACGTGAATCAAGCGTGCAGATGTCGTGCCCACGTGATCCCGCTTGAGCCGAGGGTCCCTGCGGTGGAAATTTGGATCTGGCGACCGCTCCAGATCTGGTCCTCGGACATCACCATGACTGTGATGAGTCTGTTTCGAGTTCTCCGAGTAGCTCGAGGTGGGGGATGGGGACATGGAAGTATCGGCAACTCGTGGGTGTCGTGGCTTTCTATCATTGGTGGCACACTTTGCAGGATTGGCGTTACGAGGGGAATAGCACAGCATTAGCCCCAAGTCCTAGCAACGCGAGCAAACTTTCGAAGCATTCGCAAGGGCAAGAGGACAACGCAAGGACACTGCAAGGACAACCCAAGTGAGCCGGACTGCTTGAGCATTTTCCAGGGCAGTGACTTCTCAGTACTCAAAGTTTCCGGTACGAGTGCCTTGTGCGAACTGTTTCAGCGCCCTGGCCCTTGGAGAGAACATGAGGGAAGGTTGTGTTTGGTAATTTCTTGGGCAACTACGGCCCAAGGCCGAACACCAGCATGGCCCGTCCGCGCAGGCATCATGATGCTCGCCAGCATCAAATGGCTTCGACCGCTGTATCTGTCTGCCGCCCGTCAGCAATGGCGTTTTCCGGGCCAAAGGCCGACTTGGAGCCAATTGTGCTCCAACTCACCACATCTTCTTAAGTGCGCAGGTGAAAACGAACGGCCAATCGCGGAAGCGAATAGCACGCAATTGAAGAAACATCCTTAAACTATCTAGGGGATCGAGTTAGGTCGTATGTCAGTTAATGGGGTAGCGGGCCCTCTGGGCAAGTTTGATATCCGTTTGGTTCTACCCGGCGAGCGCTCTGCCATTCCTTGTCAGGCGATGGGCCTCAAGCACTCTTTCAGCTACTTGTTTGCCATGACTATGTACCTGGCCACCACGACCCTTAGCAGCACAACTGGCGGGGGGGTGTTCACCCATGGCACTAGCAAGACTGATAACCGCATGTAGCCATCTTAAAATACGAATCACACTTGTGCTTGCCTGCCTCGGCACTCGGGCCGGTTTTCGGGGGAGGGGCGGGGGGTTGTCTGCTTGTTTTCCAGACGGGTGACGAGTCGGGATCCCCTCGAATTTTGTAGTCTCCCTGGGCGTTTGGGAGGCCTGCCGAGGCCTCCGGCCCGAGTCGAATGTTAATTTAGGCACTGGCGCCAGGCTCCTTGGCGAGGGCCTGGCGTCCTGCCCCACTGCGAAGGCGGCGGTGATCGCAAGCGGGCGGGAGGGGCCGGAAGGGCTGTTGCCCGACAAAGCGGGGCGGGACGACCAGCATGAGGGAGTGAGGAGTCTTGAGGATTGGCCAACAGGGAGGGGCATAAGAGGGGCCGGGTCGAAGGAGGGGGGAGGGCGGGCTGGCTTGGTGGCGCATCGTCCGCTACCGGTTGGTTTGGGCTGGTGGGGGGGGGGCGGGGTGTACCCATTTCAGGCCTCCGGCCTCCGTGGCAACTATCCCTGGACGTGCATTGATGAAACCGTCGCAACAAGGCATTTTTGAGACTAGGGTTTCAAAATGTGGCCGAGAGAGCAATCAAGGTTGTTTGCTGCCTCTGTGCTTATATGCCAGCTTGTGGGTCCCAGCAGCCCAATCCACGACAGCCTTCCAGTTGTGATCCGTTCCCCAGCCGCAAGAGAAAGCATGTCGATGTAATTTGCACAGGTGGCAGCAAAGCAGGGCGGTTCGGCTACAAAGATCATGTAGCAAACGTAGCCGTCTGCTCTTGCTGTTAAAAGCTGCTGTTCGAAGCTCAGAGATCCGCAAAAGCGAAGTTGGGTTGCACGGAAGGTGCTCGGTTCTCATCGGTGGCCTACGCCTACTTCACGTTAGTCGAGTGCTTGCTTGGAGGCCTCAGCAGAGACTTTTTGCAGTGCATATGTGTATGTATATGTATATGTATATGTATATGTATATGTATATGTATATGTATATGCATATGCATATGCATATGCATATGCATATATATATATATATACATATATATATATTTATATTTATATTTATCCATATGTATATATATATATATGTATATGATATACATATATCTATATATGTGCCACATATATATATATATATATATATATGTGTGTGTGTGTGTGTGTGTCTTTTTGCCATCCCTGGTTCTTCGGGCTGGGGGCGATGCTTGGCAGTGATGGTTGCCAGGTCTCGAGTGGGGCCCACAGCTGTCAGACACGTTGCTCTTCAGCACGAGCACTGTGGTTAGCGGCACCCTGGCCGGCAAACATGGTGAGGGTCCATAATGTCAGGTTTCCATCGCTTTCCGATGTATGAGCCGGCAGTCTGTGTGCGGTCAAATCTGCTCTTTCTGCTTTCTCACGGGCGCTTGTGCCCGTCAGGTGTCGTTTTCTTTGCCTTCGTCACGTTCGGCGCGATGCTTTGGCTGAAGATCGTGAAGGGAGTCTTCGTGCATCAGGCAGCGATCGCAGTGCACAGAAGGCACATGAAAACCAGAGACCCCCCAAAACACCCACAAACCCAAACATACCCCCCAAAACCCCAAAAACTCATAAACCCCATAACTCATAAACCCCCAAAACCCACTACTCATAGACCCAAACAAACCCCCCAAAACCCCATACTCTCATAAACCTCATAGACTTCATAGACCCAAACAAACCCCGCAAAACCCCATAAACTCATAAACCCCCAAAACCCAATACTCTCAGAAACCCCATAAACTCATAGACCCAAACAAACCGCCAAAACCTCGTACTCTCATAAACCTCATAAACTCATAGACCCAAACAAACCCCCCAAAACCCCATAAACTCATAAACCCCATAAACTCATAAAAACCCTAACCCAAATCTTCCCAGAACCCCATAAACTCATAGACCCAAACAAACCCCTCATAACCCCATACTCATCATAAACCTCATAAACTCATAGACCCAAACAAACCCCCCAAAACCCCACAAACTCATAAACCCCATAAACTCATAAACACCCAAAGCCCCAGAAACCCCATGAACTAATCCCCCAAAACCCCCAGAAGCCCCCATGAAAAAGCAAGTTGCAGGTGGACCACTTAAACCCTGATAAACCCGCCAAAAAAACCCCATAAAGCCCCCATGGAAAAAACAAGTTGCAGGTGGACCACTCCATTGAGCTCATAAGCTCATAAACAAACCGTAACCTTAAACCCTAAACCTTAAACCCTAAACCCTAAACTCTAGACCTAAACCCTAAACCCTAAACCCTAAACCCTAAACCCTAAGCCCTAAGCCCTAAACCCTAAACCCTAAACCCTAAACCCTAGACCCCATGAAGAAGCACGCTGCAGGTGGACCACTCCTTTGAGCTCACGAACGTCACCAAGTTCAAGGATCCCGAGCTCAAGGAGCTCACCCAGGAGCTACGGGGTTCAGGGTCTTAGGGTCTTAGGGTCTTAGGGTCTTAGGGTCTTAGGGTCTTAGGGTCTTAGGGTCTTAGGGTCTTAGGGTCTTAGGGTCTTAGGGTCTTAGGGTCTTAGGGTCTTAGGGTCTTAGGGTCTTAGGGTCTTAGGGTCTTAGGGTCTTAGGGTCTTAGGGTCTTAGGGTCTTAGGGTCTTAGGGTCTTAGGGTCTTAGGGTCTTAGGTCTTAGGGTCTTAGGGTCTTAGGGTCTTAGGGTCTTAGGGTCTTAGGGTCTTAGGGGGTCTTAGGGTCTTAGGGTCCAGGGTTTGGGGTTTGGGGTTTAGGGTTTAAGACTTAGGGTTGGGGTTTAGGGTTTAGGGTCTAGGGTTTAGGGTTTCGGGTTTAGGGTTTAGGGTTTAGGGCTTGGGGTTCGGGTGTTTGTTTGAGGGATTCAGGCCTGAGGGGTGAGGAAGACAAGGAACCATGAGGGTCTGGGGTTCAGTGTGTTTAGGGTTTAGGATTTAGGAGGGTCTTGAGACCAGTGGAACGCCTCATTCAGGATCTCCTCAAACATTTTGTTCGCTCCATCAATGTGGCGTGGCTCCAAAAGGCGTTTTTCTTTTGTGAGACTCTGGGTTGGATAGGCTGGATCCCTAAATAGGATGTTTACATGTCTCTAACCCCTGTACCCCCAGGCGATGGACAGTGAGATGACTGGCGCAATCTCCTTCAAAGACATATCTGTCGTCTTGCCGCACCACCTGGATGATCTGGCAGATGTGGGGGTGGGTGCCTGGACCTTCTTGAAGTGGGGCTTTCCGAAATTAGGGGGTACCTTATTGGGGTCCTTATAAACAGGGAATCCGATTATTTGAAGGTCAGAATTAGGATCCCTTATTTTCGTAAACCCCCAAGTGCCTCCCCTCTTGAGCATGTCTGGGCTTGAGGTCTGCCTGAGTTGCGGAAGATCTTCAATGAGCTGGCGACTTGGAGACGCACGTTTAGGGTTTAGGGTTGAGGGTTTAGGGTTCGAGTGTGTAGATTTGCCGCAGGCAGAGCCCCGAACGAGTTTCTGGATGCACCCTTTTCCTGACATCGCCTCCGTTTCCCTGGAGACTGTGAGTTTGAGGGAGATGTTAGCAGCAGGCATTACTATATCCCCCTTGGGAATTGTTTCTTTGTTTATATAAAACCCAAGAGAATACTTCAAGAAACATTATTTCTAAGGTTCTAAGGGGAGTGTAGACTAGCTTTCCGGGCTTAGGGTTTAGGGTTCTCTTGTAACCCAGCCGAAATACCTTTAGAAGTTGGGGCTTCCTGTTTGGCGGCGTGTTTAGGGCATGACCCGTGGGGCACAGTGCTCCTCACCTGAGAGGCCCCGGGGGGTTCAGGGTTGATTTTTGCTCAACCGCCTTTAGCCAGAAAGATGCCAGTAGGACGGATCTTCGACATCGTGTGTAATATTCGGGGGGAGGGCCCCGCGAACTTTGGGGTGCCTGGGAACCAGCACCTCCTCTTGGGGGGCAAGGGTTTGTTAATCAACCGGTACTTTTCTTTTAATATTTCCAGCCGACGTATTCGGTGTTCAGCATTTCTTGCCCGAACATCTTCGTTCTTGCTGTAGGTTCTCCCGCCTCCTCACACTGCAGGCCTTTTCTAGCCCAGAAACCTCCTTACTTCCGAACCCATCAGCAGAAATCCGGTTCAACTTACAGCTAGGGTTTAGGGTTTAGGGTTTAGGGTTTAGGGTTTAGGGTTTAGGGTTTAGGGTTTAGGGTTTAGGGTTTGGGGTTTAACTCAGACACTCCAAGGACACCACCTCTACGGGCCATGTCTCGATACCGCTGCAGCTTGGCAAGAGCGCTCATGCCCTAAACCCTAAACCCTAAACCCTAAACCCTAAACCCTAAACCCTAAACCCTAAACCCTAAACCCTAAACCCTAAACCCTAAACCCTAAACCCTAAACCCTAAACCCTAAACCCTAAACCCTAAACCGCCATCGCGAGCCAGTTCGTCAGCCGAAATGTTGCCTTCGATTTCTCTCGGTTTCGCGACTAACAGTCCTTAGTAGGGATTATCCCCCCCTGGTTAGAGTTCCTACTAAGGAGCTGTTTGTATAAGGGGGAGCATCCCAAGTAAACCCTAAACCTTAAACCCTAAACCCTCAACCCTAAACCAGCTCAGGTTTGTGAGCCGAGTCGAGGAGTACATGAAGTACAAGCCAGTGGAGGTCCTGATCTTTGAGAACCAGCAGATGAGGCTGGGGGAGTGTCAGTATACCCCTTATCTTCAGGGATCCTACTCTTTGGGGGTAGTGTCAGTATACCCTTCTTATAAGGGGATCCTATTATTTTGGGGGGTTTATATTCGTAAACTAGGGGCCCCCAATTTTCGTAAATCCCCCATGTGCCCTTGATATGGTATCATGCCTGTCTGGTCGCCCTGTTCTGCTCTTCGCCCTGGTGACTGACCTTAGGCTCTTGCATCTCGTCAAGAAGCTTGCCCAGCGTAACCACAAGCACTTCGACAAGGCCGGTGCATGACCACCTCTTCCACTTTCCTACCGTGCGTTTCAGTACGGTTCCCTCTTCCACAGTTTCCTTACCAGCTGCTGAGAGGTGTGCAAGAGTATGGAGGTCATGGCCGGCAACTTGGCGCAGGCGAGGCCGGCTTAAGGAAAGCCATGAGCCAAGCTTTGCAGCACGCAGTTTTGGGGCGTAATAGTGGCGACAGGCCTTTTCCACGCAAGATGGAATGTCGGCTGCCGTGGATGAGAAGGTCGAGAGGCGACAGCACCGAGTGCGGGCCTCTGCTGGAATCTCGTAACCACTTGCTGGGTTTAGGGTTTAGGGTTTAGGGTTTAGGGTTATTCGAGTTCTCCGTAGTGGGCTCCGCTGAGGTTCGGTCGGCTGAATCTCGCCTGCAGACAGAGAAGGAACAAACCTGCAGCAAGTCAAGTGCTGCATGTTACGTGCCTTATATACGTGTGTGTATGTATGTATGTATGTATGTATGTATGTATGTATGTATGTATGTATGTATGTATGTATGTATGTATGTATGTATGTATGTATGTATGTATGTATGTATGTATGTATACATATACATATACATATACATATACATATATACATATACATACACATACTATACATATACATATCATATACCATACATATACATATACATATACATATACATATACATATACATATACATATACATATACATATACATATACATATACATATACATATACATATACACACATACATATACACATACATATACATATACGTGAACATCTACATATACACATGTACTCATTTTCTTGGGTTCGTAAATTCATCTTCGTCCAGAAGCCCTGGGCCGTGACGAAGGGCAAAAAACTGACACGCCAGGAAACCACTACCGGATGGTGATAGCAGCCTATGCAAGCCCCCTCCCCCTCCCCGCCCCGTTTCACGGCTTGTTTGTTGCGTCGGATGCCGAGAGCTTTGAAGTTTTGGGTTCGGAGGTTTCAGGGTTTTTAGGGTTGCAGGTTTGAGGGTTGACAGTTTTAAGCTAAACTTTAGGGTGGGGTGGGTGGGTGCGGTGATGTCGGTGTGTCGCGTGGGTGGGGGTGGGGGTGCGAATAGGAGGCACAGACTCATGTAAATTATACGTATGGATAGATAGAGTGTTTTTGTATGAGATGATATGTATATATATATATATATATATGTATATATATATATGTGCAAATAATATGTATATGTAGATGTACATGTATAAGTTTGTATATGTACGCGAAGCATGCATGTGAATAAAGAAGATTTATGGGCCGCGGTGGGTCCATTGGGCAGAGGGGTGGTGGGTGACCATATATATATATATGTACATATATGTGCCTGTGTGTGTGTATGATGTGGCCTGGACCTTCAGGGTCTATTTGGCGATGCCTCTGTTTCTTTAGAGTTCATATTCGTGGTCTGTGATCTACGCTGCGCCACCGGCACCCGAGACACAAACAAAAACGATTGATAGCAGTGCTCATGGTCGAGAACGATGTGATGAGTTTGGGTTTCTTTGCAATTGGTTTCCCACTCCAAAAGACCTGAGATGTTGAATCGTGTTTTACAAGACGAAGATACGTAGGGTTTTTGGGTTTAGGGCTTTTAAGGTTCAGGGCTTAGGGTTTCTAGCGTTTGGCCTCTTCAAACCCTTATAGACACGTACTGACGCGCATATGGGCAAAGCCAAGGACACCCCTAACCCCTCACTATCCTGTCCTCCCCTCCCTTCCCAGCGCCCAGACCGGAATCGTCAAGAAGTCTACTATTGTTCTCTCGTCCTTCTTCAAGACACATGATTCACCTTTAGGACGTACCATTCATGTCTTTCCCTCTTGTTCCACAGCCTTGCTCACCTGGCACACCTTGAGACCCTAACTCATGAGAGGACCTTCTGGAAGCTGGTGCTTCCACGGGGCCTGAACCCTCCCTCCCCAGCCACCTCCCTGGTCCCTCCTCGTTGTGTTCTCCTTCCCTTCGCGCGCCTTTTCCCTTTCCACACACCCCCTTCCCATGCCCTTCATCGAAAAGAAGCGAACGCCAGACGGCTAAGCTGAATGGCAGACTGGTGCAACCGAGAGAAAGCATTTTGTCGTGAATGTAGGTATTTTAGTTAGCGCAGGTCGCCTTTAAGCAGATTTGTCTGTACATTTCTAGTCTGAGAGGAAATTGCTCTCTTCATTCTATCCCGGGTGACCGCCAAGATTAGGCAGACTTGCATAAGTGTTCGCCACTGCTTGTTGTTGTTCAGTTAGTGCAATTAGCGCAAAAATAGATGTGCCGAATCCGAGGGGCATAAATAGTGCGACGACAATTCGTGGCGTGTTAATCTAGAGAGTCTACTTAGTGCGATTTGCCTTTAGATGGATTACTCGGCCTCCTCATGACTAGGGCCGAGTGTGTTTGAGCCGCAGAAATTCCAGAATAGTGCCTCTGGGCCATCCCAGTCTGTGGCAGCCGCATGTAAGGAACAAATATACTATGTTTCGGAAATAGTAGACGTATCTGGCCAACAACCAGGCAGACGTCTAAAACAACAAAATACACAAAATTTGGACACGAAACGTACCGAAACCAAAGAAATCAAGACGATGTAAAGCAACAACGCGACAAACAAACACAAGCCTCCAACCCAAGAAAGAAGGACCAACAACACCCAAAACCAAAATCTTTTCACAAATTTCGGGCACTAGACCTGCGGTTCCCGGACACGAGTAGCGCAGTTTTTTTTTTTTTTTTTTTTTGTTTTTTTTGGTTGGGGTACTAGTGCTTTGTTTGAGAGCTGCCACCATGGTGTCCGGCTGATCCACGTATGTAAGTAACATGTATTCTGCTTTTACGGGTATATGTTTGTTTTACTGTATATATCTATAAATGTAAATATATATATATATATGTATGTATGTATTTATGATGTATACAGAGCAATGTTTGTTTTTCAAAAGTCGAGCATCATGTACCATGTAGTTATCATGTACCATCTGGTCACACCTCTTCTATCAAAAGTCATGCGGCATGTGCCGTATGCCATATGTCACAGAACATGCGGCATATGTCAAATATCATATATCATACACCATACACCGTATATTATATATCATATATCAGATATCATATATCATATTGTATATTTATATCGTACCGCAAACATGTACTACATATCACACGTCACACGTCACATGTCGCATGTCATACATCAGAGATCAATAAAATCACGCATCATGAACCATGTACCGTACCATTTCTTCGTTGATCTGTAATGTATCATGCCACTCACGTATGATGCAGTTGGTAGCATTTGGCATATCTCATTTTTCATGGACTGTGTGTCATACACCATATACCACATGCACACATACGTACGTGCATGCGAAAAACGTATACGTATCTATATATATATATACACATGTATATATATATATATCCTTAAACATAATTCTTGTTTATTCATGCTAACTTTAGTGCCTTTTCTTTTTTGCCGAGACCTTCAGTGAATCATTCGAGCCATTCGAGCCTGGCAGACCACTTGCGGAAGCTTTTTAGGCCGTGGTGCCCACCGCCGATGCAGCTCAGAAGCTGGACGAGCTCATCCTGTCGCTGCTCGCCCGCATGTTTGCCCCCCGGGGCCCCTTAGGGAAGCTTTGCACGTGGATGTCGGAGTAGAGCAACCCTGAGCCCTAGGCTTGAAAGCCTGAGAACCCTGAGCCCTCAACCCGAAGCCCTAAACCCGAAGCTCAGTTGCGAGGAACGAGTCGCCGAGGGCCGCGGAAACGACGACGGTGCCCTCAGCCGAATCGGGGGATCCCAGCCCAGGGATTCTATTAGGGTTGGAGATGGGGTTAGAGATGGGGTTACAGATGGGGTTGCAGATGGGGTTAAAGATGGGATTGTAAAGATGGGATTGTGCTCGGGCTGTAGAGGATTACCGATATCAGCAAAATGCCGAGGCGTTTGCACCCCTGGCCAGCAGTCTCTTGGACGGAACTGTGATGTGTGGGGCACCGGCAGTGTTCTGTCGGGCAGTACCCCGAAGTAGCTGGACGAGCAAGCAAGTCTTTCAGGCTGCTTTGGCAAAGTCGCACGTCCAGCACTTGCACCATATATCAGGGAAGCGCATGTCCTGTCTTGTGGTCAGGTTCGAACTTCATTCTTGATATTTGGGAAGAGCTGCTCGGCGGCTTGAAGTCTATGCTTTCGAGTCGTGAAGAATCGTGGCTGCTTAGATTGCTTCATGACGCTAAGGGCCCTGCAAAAGCAGCGAGCGGAAGTGAAGGGCTTGATCGACTCAAGCATTCGGCTAGCGAGCCTTTAGGAACTTAGACCTTTTCCGTGGTCAGATCCGGGACAATTTCATATCTTTCATATCGTCCCACCTGTTTTTGATCCGGTGCCCCCTCCCCCTCTCCCCACCCCACCCCTCCCGAACGACAGACGCTTGACCATATGTACCCCTTTGCGAGGCCTTGACAATAAGGTACTCTACCTGGGAACGCCCCTCGTAAAACTGTCGTCCTCAGTCAGTGTGCCGCACGCGGCAGATGTGAATAGATGTGACAAAGAGCACAAGCACGCTTGGAAGTGCACCAGCGTGTATGCCTGGCAGCGGTCAGAACAGCTGACCCCTCAGCTGCCGCGCGCTTGGGAGCCCGCGGGGAGCGCGAAGCGCACTGCGCAAGCTGCCAGCGGAGAGCATCAGGGGGTGAGAAGAGCTCCGCATTCCGCCCCTGGAACCTGCTGATTCCCCTCATTCTTTCCTTTAGCATCTGGGCACACGCCGGGTGGGACGAGGTGCTGTTTCTCCACGAAGCAGAAGGCGGACGAGGAGCCAAACGGTGCTTGTACCAAGCATGGAAGGGGGGTCGTTGTGCTGTGTATCAGGCTTCACACAGGAGGTTCGCACGGAAACCCTAAACCCTGAACCCTAGACCCTAAACCCTAAACCCTAAACCCTAAACCCTAAACCCTAAACCGTAAGACCCAGCTTATGCTCGACAGCTCAGGGCCTCGCCCCAAACCCCGGCAAATCCTACAAAAGCTCTCTTAAGAGGAGGAGACCTCCGACGGCTTCGTGACGGAGCGCCGCGCCGCTTGGGTGGCAACGAGAGGTTGTTTTTTCGGCGTTTTCTCGGGTTTAGGGTTTAGGGTTTAGGAGGGGATTAGTGACCGGATCCCTGCGTCGCTTTTCCAGTCTCCTGGCTCCCGGTCGAAGGCTTTGCCCAAACTTGTTCGGGCATTGTTGGGTAGGTTCATCATCCTGATAGCAGTTCCCTCAGTAGGAGCGTTCTGTGACGCAAAGAATGCAGTGCTAAGGAGGAGATTCAGTCGCCATCTCAGATGCAAGAGACAGCACGTGTTCAAAGGCGTTCACATCTTGGCCTCAGTTTCAGTAGGTGAAGCAGTATTGTGCAAAGTCACGTTTGTTGTTTCTATGGGTTGTCATCATTCTTATTATTTCCATTATGATGATTTTGATGTTCAATGGTGTTCGGGTTGTTCTTACTGCTGTTGTTGTTGCTGCTGCTGCTTGCCGCTGCTGCTTGCCGCTGCCACTCTTGCTGTTTTATGATGCTACGAGGGCCTGCCTGTTTTGATTTTTCCCGAATGCGTTCCAGGGGTCTAGAAGCGTCCGCAAAATGAAGCCTCTGCGGTCGTGACCGTCACTTGTTTTCAGCTTGGTGTTGCTTTCGCGCATCAGCAGTGGGGACAGTTACAAGGAGGAGGGGGAAGTCATGAGGCAGGGGTTGCAGGTGCGGATCCAGGGCATCCGACCCTAGATAGTGTCACCCTCACCCATGTGAGCGTTGCAACGTCAAGGGAACATCCATGCGCTCACTCGTGCCTCAGGAGTGCGTGACGTCCAGAGAGGTTGAATAGTTAAGGACAGATGTCGCTGGCACATCGCCAAGGAAAAGCAGCTCCGAGACAATGCGACATGAGAATGAACAAAGCAAGAGGAATACATCAAACGTACGAGGATGCAGATGATGAGAGATGAGAAATCTCCATATCAAAAGTAGAGAGAGGGAGGGAGGGAGAGAGAGAGAGAGAGAGAGCCCGGAAGAAGAAGAAGAAGAAGAAGAAGAAGAAGAAGAAGAAGAAGAAGAAGAAGAAGAAGAAGAAGAAGAAGAAGAAGAAGAAGAAGAAGAAGAAGAAGAAGAAGAAGAAGAAGAAGAAGAAGAAGAAGAAGAAGAAAGAAGAAGAAGAAGAAGAAGAAGAAGAAGAAGAAGAAGAAGAAGAAGAAGAAGAAGAAGAAGAAGAAGAAGAAGAAGAAGAAGAAGAAGAAGAAGAAGAAGAAGAAGAAGAAGAAGAAGAAGAAGAAGAATAAGAAGAAGAAGAAGAAGAAGAGAGAGCGAGAGAGCGAGAGAGCGAGAGAGCGAGAGAGGGAGAGAGGGAGAGAGGGAGAGAGAGACAGGAAGGACTCCACAGGCGCCTTGGTAGAACCGACGGGACGCGGGATCGGGGCGCGCATCAGCGCGGGGGTTTTTCCCCCATGCCTCGAAGAAAGAGAGAGACAGGCAGAGAGGGACGCAGAGAGACAGAGAGTGACAGAGAGAGGAAGACAGAGAGAGGAAGACCGAAAGTGGAAGACAGAGAGAGGAAGACAGAGACAGGAAGACAGAGAGAAAGAGAGAGAAAGAGAGAGAGAGAGAGAGCATTGGATAGCCATCAATTCTCACTCCAGTTTGGGAAGGGGCCCAAATCAAGGGCGGACTCTGTCATCTCAGTCCTCACACACGCTTTGCATGTTTTTGCCCCACCCATAGCCCAAAGGAGGCCGCTAGGTGGCGGCGCTCCCCCCTTCTTGATCACCTTCTTCCGTTATTGGACTAATCCTGTTGGCGCCGGGGGGAAACGTGTCTACAAATTTCACCAGCAGACCGTGGACTGTCCGCCCCCCCTTGGGGCGGCTCTCCTCTTCGGGGCGGGGGCCATGCGTGTAGAGAGAGAGAGCATGGCGGAGGCGGCGTTCTGTAATCATGCTATTCTACTAGCATAAGGGTTTAGGGTTTAGGGTTTAGGGTCTGCTGCAAGAAGAATTCTACGCAGGCTGGCCCAGCCTGCTCTGAGTCCTTCGCGTGGACCGCCCGCTGCAAAAGACCGCTCCTCAGGTCTCAGGATGTCGTGCCATCTCCGGTCCCGGACGGCCATCGGTTTGTGAATTTTGGGTTGAGGAGGTTTAGGGTTTAGGCTCTTAGGGTTTAGGTTTTAGGGGTTTGGGTTTTAGGGTTGGGGATTTGGGGGTTTTGGGCTTTTAGAGGAGGGGTTGCATCACGAGGCCCTGAACCCTGAACCCTAAACCCTAAACCCCAAACCCTAAACCCTGAACCCTAAACCCTAAGCCCTATACCCTAAGTCCTAAACCCTAAGCCGCCCCACCTGGCTTCGGTGGACAACGCCTACGTTTTTTGAGGCTTCAAGGTGGCAGATTGCCTGCCTTCTTGGACTCTCGGGACGACATTCTAAGCGCCCCGAAGGCTCAGGGCTACTCTGGGGTCGGGCACTCAAGAATGTCTCTCAAAAAAGCACTCGGGGCTGGCACTCCAGGATTCTGGCAGAACGCTGGGTCCAGGGATTCTCTGGGGATGCTCTTGTGTTTGGGCACTCCAGGCATTCGCTGGGGATGGTCTTGTGGCTGGGCACTCCACGGATTTTCTGGGGATACGCTGCATCGCACTCCGACTGCTGGGCGCTGCAGGGGTTCTTTGGGGGATAGTCAAATGCAAGTCTCACACTTGCTTGCTTGCCTGCTCGGCCAATGCTGTTCTCCTGTGGCTTCTCGGGCAACTGCATTAGCTTTCGTGCCCGCCGTCCCCCCACAAGTTGAGGTGTTGAGGGTGATGCGTGTAGGTTCGCGGGTAGCTGTAAGTAGGGTTAAAAGTACCCGAAATAAGGTTGAATCCAGTTTTAACAATTGTTACCCCTACTTATAACCCCACTTCTAACTACCCATGAACCTTCAAGTAGCCCTAAACCCTAAACCCTAAGCCCTAAGCCCTAAACCCTAAACCCTAACCCTAAACCCCAAACCCTAAACCCCAAACCCTGTAGGGTCCGTGTGGGGAGTCCGGTCTCTGAAGGCATCGCCGACTTCCGCTCGGCAGCCTTCACCGCTCCCTGGGAGGCTCGTCGACGTCCCACCCACTGCTCCTGGGCACTCTGGGCTCAGAGTGCTGCTAAGCCCTAAACCCTAAACCCTAAACCCTAAACCCTAAACCCTAAACCCTAAACCCTAAACCCTAAACCCTAAACCCTAAACCCTGAACCCTGAACCCTAAACCCGAAGCATGTGTGGGGTTTAGGGCCCTAAACCCTACACCTCATAGACCCTAAAGGTCCTAAACCCTACACCCCACAGACCCTAAACACGGCACCCTGAGCTCTAGATCTCCACACCCCTCAGCCACGCACGCCTGGTCTCAGCAGCCCCTAAACCCTAAACCCTAAACCCTAAACCCTAAACCCTAAACCCTAAGCCCTAAACCCTAAACCCTAAACCCTAAACCCTCAACCCTGAACCCTGAACCCTGAACCCTAAACCCTAAACCCTAAACCCGAAACCCTAAACCCTAAACCCTAAGCCCTAAACCCTAAACCCTAAACCCTCCTGAGCTCAGGGACGACGCGCCGGCCTCCGACAGCCCGAGCGAGTCGACTGCAGAGGTGAGCCCGGGGCAAGCTCGCGGTTGGTTCGGTTGGGTTGGGATTCGTAACTAGCAGTCCTTAGTAGGGATTAGCGTGCCCCCCCCACGAGAATCCCTATGAAGGGCTGCGTGTATAAGGGGGAGCATCCCAAGGGAGGGGGTGTAGAGTCTGGGGGGTTTGTTTGGGGTTTAGGGGACTACTTGTAAACGCTTGCCCTCACAATCGATTCCCCTAAACCCTAAACCCTAAACCCTAAACCCTAAACCCTAAACCCTAAACCCTAAACCCTCACAATCGATTCCCCTTCATGGGTGTTTTTAAGCCTTTATCCGTGGCATGCGGTCACCTCGGGATAGAAGCTGCCGTGGCCGGCTTGGTGTTGCTGCAGCTCATTTCCTCTCGGAGTTGGGGTGCTCATAGAGGCCACGCTTCGACCCGAATCCCTCAGACCCGAACTCTTGAACTCCCCCCTAGAAGCCGGTACATTGACCAGAACCCCTAACCCCTAACCCCTAACCCCTAAACCCTAAACCCTAAACCCGAAACCCGAAACCCTAAACCCTAAACCCTAAACCCTAAACCCTAAACCCTAAGCAATGAGACGCAGGCCGGACAGGCGAACTCCGCTGCCCTGGCCAAGATGGCCAAGCTGGTGACGCAGGACAGGGCCCCCCTACTACCCGGGCCGCTGATGCCTTGGACACCCTCAAAAGGGAGATTTCCGAAAGAAGGGTACCCCCTTTTATACCGCAAAATGCTAGATCTAAGAGAGCCCCAAAAAGGGTACCCCCCCCCCCCCCCCTGTTTTCGTAAACTACCGCCCCGAAGATCCCAGCAAGGCCGATGAGACGCCTGCGCCTGCCTGGGTGTGGCCCTCAACGGGAGCGATTCTTGGGGATTCATGAGGGGCTTTTCGGGGGGTGATGCCAAAGGGTCCGGGTTTTAGAGCTTAGGGGTCCAGATGGATCCATGGTACTCGTGGAGTCATGCTGTTTGGGTTTAAGGCCAAAACCTTCCCATGAAGCAGCTTGCCCAAACTGAGCTGTGCTGAAGTGGCAGCTCCTGAAGTGCCTCGAACACCAGCAGTGTTGGGCGTACGTATGGCTTCTGCACACATACATGTATGTATGTGTGTATATATATATATATGTATATGTATAATATGTACATACATACGCATATACACACGCGTGTATATATACATATAATTGTATATTTATATACATACATATGTGTGTGTACTTGTGTCTTTTGTTTGTTTCTCTCTCTCTCTCTCACTCTGTCTTCCTCCCTCACGCACGCTCTGTTTCGCTCTCTCTTTCCATCCCTCTTAGCTGACACTCTGATTAAGGTGCCTCCGCAACCCTCGCGGCAACGGCCCTTGCCGCAATCGAGGCTCCCGTTGCTCCCGCCGCAGGAGACGATCTCACAAGGGTTGCCGCAGCTTTCAAGTTGGGATCGCCATTGTGTCGCCAGTGCAGCACAGCAGGAGCCGAATTTTCGCGGCAAGAAGACTTTAGTGTTGGACTTGGACGAGACGCTTGTCTGGGCCACAGGGTTTCGATGTCCAGGTCTCTTTTGTCTCAGCACCCTTGGCTTTGGCACTCATGAGCGCGTCTGCTCGCGAAGGGGATGCTCAGCTCAGCTTAGGTGCACAGTTCCTTCACCCCGGTCACTTGTGATTTGGTCCTCTCCTTGGGATCCGGCAGTCGCCATGCGAGATGCAGCCTTTCCCCACATTTGGGTGGCTGTCAAAATTCCACCCAGATGTACGGTTTGAGGGTTGGGGCTCGCAACGCAATTGTCCGGCATCGGTGTTGCGATTCTGGTGGCCGTCCTCGGTTTTAGGTCATCCTGGAGAGAGCTGTTGCGACTTTCCCAGGTGCTCAGTGTGTTCCTGGGCACCGAAGAGCACAAGGCCACAACGCACAGAATGCCACAGTCTAGGTTGGAGGGTGCAATTGCAACTTCCTCGTTCTTCTCCAACAGGTCTACGTGCGAAAGCGGCCGGGCGTTGATGAGTTTCTTAAGGCCGTTGCCAAGCTGTATGAGGCCTGTTTGCTCGTGGCTTGCGGCTGCGAAGAGTTTGGTGATTCTTGCATTTTTCTTTCCAGCGCATAGCTGCTCCCTGCAGTCATGTTGCCTGCATGTGTCCACCTTTCACGAGGTGGCCATTTTCACCGCTTCTACTTCGCTGTACGCGGTGCGCAGCCTGCAGAAATCCGCTGCGCATGCCAGCATGATGGAAAGCATCTGAGAGTGTGCGCCCCCGTCCGAGAACGCTTTGCTGGATGTGCTGGACCAGCGTGGATGGATTCAACACAGGCCAGCTGCACTGCCTCGGTGCAATCTCTTCTGAGCATTTGGCTGCATGGAGAGTCATGTGCCTGTTGTTGGTCGGGATAGCCTGCATCCAGCCATGTGAGAACATGGAAGGCTTTTCCGCGAAGCCTGCACCAGATACAAGGAGGGCTATGTCAAGGACATCTCATGTAAATGTCTCCTGTAAGTGAGTGCGGACATCGTACCGCGTAGGACAAGCAATGACGCAAGCCATGCCTTCAGATGCCAGAAGGTCGCACGCTGGCTGTCCAGCCGCGTGAAATGACCGGGTAGGCTCAGCCACAGAAAAATGTCTGAGCAACGGTCGAACGAAGCTAAAACTTCCTTGACACGTCCATGTGGTTCGCTCAAACAGTCGGGAAAAGTTGCAACGGTATTTGTATGTTTCCGCATGCTGTCCAGAACAGTCTGGATATGGGCACCGGTCGACATCATTGTTGATTACTGTCATTGCTCCCATGACTGTTGACATTCCCATTTCGATGTTAGCTAGTATAACTACCCATCCGACGACGATGACGACTGCGACTCTGACTGCTGTTTTCCTGGTGACATGGCAGTTGCTCTTGTTGCTTTCGCTCTTACATTTTGCCTTCCTGATCTTTGGTAGCCCGCTGATACCCTTTTGCCCTTTTTGAGCTTGGGCTTTCTGTAGCGAAAGTAACCAACATCAGGTCATGAACCAGATGGGGTATTTGATGGTACTTGAGGGGTCATGGGTAGCTATATGTGGGGAAATAGGATAAGTAGGGTAACTAGAGTTATAGCTGGTTAGCACCTTATTTAGGTGCTCATAGCCCTAGTCATAGCTACCCATGAACCTCCAAGTTACCCTCTTGTTGTGATAGAGTTGTGGGGCTACTCCAAGGATCTCACAGTTCGATTTCTTTGCCAAGCGTGAAGGACCTGTCGCTCTTGGGGCGCAACCTGAACGATGTCGTCCTCAGCGTGTCTTTTTGGGGCTTCTGCTTGAGGTTCACGGGTGGATATAAGTGGGGTTGTAAGTAGGGTAAGTATAGCTATAACTGGTTAGAACCTTCTTTAGGGTTCTTATCACCCGACTTAGAACCTCCAAGTGGGGTTTTACGGCTGTAAGGTTTAGGGATGTCTCGAACTGTGCATGATGGCATATGATGCTGTGCCAGGTGATCATCGTTGACAACATGTCTGGGCCCAGCAAGAGATCGGTACGTGTCGTGTCTTCCACACTCAGCAGCTATGTGGTCGTCCCTCCCTTCGGCCCCTGTGTTTTTTCACATCTGACAACACCTGCCAAATGCATAAGCCTGGATGGTCGCCCACTGCGGCCTAGTCAAGAGCAATCGGCTGCAGCTTGGATTTGGGTGGTGTCTCATGCAGCAAAGGCCATGCATTGGGTGCGTTCACAGCAGCTGCCGTGCATCCGGCATGTCAAGAACCATCCACGCCTTTTGCTCAGGCCAGTCTGCTACGCGTTGCAGCCGGAGAATGCCATTCCCATACGAACGCCTCGCCAGCACGAGTTCTTTTGATGGCCCGTAAGCAGTTCTTATTGGGGTTTAGGGTTTAGGGTTTAGGGTTTAGGGTTTAGGGTTTAGGGTTCAGATGTGTGCTTGGCAACGATGCCAAGCAGGTGGAAGCACGATCCCGAAGACACGGAGCTGATGGACCTGTTGCCTCGTCCTGAGACATCCGTGGTGCCAGATGCCAATCTGGAGGGCCATCCCTTGGGCTTTGTGGTTTGGGTTTAGGGTTTAGGGTTTAGGGTTTAGGGGTTTAGGGTTTAGGGTTTAGGGTTTAGGGTTTAGGGGTTAGGGTTTGGGGGTTTAGGGTTTAGGGTTTAGGGTTTAGGGTTTAGGGTTTAGGGTTTAGGGGTTTAGGGTTTAGGGTTTAGGGTTTAGGGGTTAGGGTTTGGGGGTTTAGGGTTTAGGGTTTAGGGTTTAGGGGTTGGGGTTTAGGGTTTAGGTTTTCCGACAGAGCGCGCATGTGCTCGAGGCCCATCCTGCTGTCTCTGGCGCACGTGGCACTCCGGACATGGCTTGTTTGGTCTCATGTCATTACATGTGTTTTTGGCACTTCATTTTTATGCGATGTTTTCCATTTACTATCATTTCAGGAGGGGTTTGGAGGAGCTGCAACGAAGCTCAGGGTAGCACTCACAGTTCGGGATCACAAAATTATAATCCCTTTTAAAGGACCGTTAGTACAAGGGGACCATCCCTAGGCACGTCCCAGGTGGGCATTGCTTGGTGCTTCGGACAGGGTAGAGAGCCCAAGGCCCCTAAAAGAAGGAGTATGCCTTATGCAGCTGATTACAAGGAACCTTTCTCATTATCCCATTACATGCATATAGTTCAGGGCACATGGGTAGTTTCCTAAATTCGGGTACCTTCTGGGTACCCAGAAGATGGCCGGCACTTTCAGAAAGGGGATCCCCAAACAGGGACCCCGTTGAGTTCCGCAAGCCAGGAAGAGATTCCGCGCATGTTGAAGGAGATACTGGCCTACGAAGCCAGCGAAGTCGGGTCCTCATTTTTGAATCAGGGTTTAGGGTTTAGGGTTTAGGGATGTAAGTTGAAAAATGCCCCCAAGGGACGCCCTCCCCCCCCCCCCCCCCCCCCCCACCCCCAACAAAAAGGGACCAGAGACTTCTGTACAAAGAGGGACCATCATGTGGAGGTCTCGCAGTGTGTCCTGAGATCTTGCCCTTGCCATGTTGGCGCTGAAGTCGGCCCCCTCAACGGCTGACATGTAAGACCACGTGACGCTATAACTTTGTCATAGTTAGGAATATAAATGTAAAATTTTAATATTATCCCAGCAATGAACAAGATAAGATTTTCCCTACTGCAGCAGCCGCCCTGCCCGAGTGCCCAACACACTTTCAGTGTGGGCTTCTCTGCGCTGAGGACGATGCCGATGAGGCCGGTGCCGGGTAGTGCCGGGTAGTGCCGGGTAGGCTGACGGCCTGCAAATCTGCGGTGTGACTTGCCCATCTTGAGGGCAACCAAAACCTAAACCCGAAACCCGAAACCCGAAACCCTAAACCCTAAACCCTCAACCCTAAACCCTAAATGATCCTGCGCAAGATGAGCTCCCTACCCAATGCGGCATGCACCCAGTGTTTGAAGCAGCTATTTGGGGAAAAATAGACCCCTAAACCAACAATGAGCAAGTCCCCGCGCCGAATGCTTTTTCGGCCAGTTCGTTCAACGTCTGCTCTCGTAAGTGTGAAGCGGGTACACCCGACATCCCGCAGCAGCTCGGTGCCCAGTCTCGAGGCATCTCGCAGGCATCAGAAGACGTCTCAGAGCAAAGACTACCTTAAACCCTAAACCCTAAACCCTAAACCCGAAACCCTAAACCCTAAACCCTAAACCCGAAACCCTAAACCCTAAACCCTAAAGCATCTCCTGCATGTCCCCAGACATCTCAGCATGCCTCGATGGCATGATGCATGAAGTTTAGGTAGGCCCTGGGGATACTTGTTGCTTTTCCATTTTTCTTAGGGTTTAGGGTTTAGGGTTTAGAGTTTAGGGTTTAGGGTTGAGCGGCCTGAGTGGCCAGAGCGGCTTCAGCGGCCTCAGCGGCCTGAGCGGGCTCAGCGGCCTGAGTGGGCTCAGCGGCTTCAGCGGCCTCAGCGCCCTCAGCGCCCTCAGCGGGCTCAGCGGCCTGAGCGGCCTGAGCGGGGGCAGCGGGCTCAGCGGCCTGAGCGGCTCGGCGGGCTCAGCGGCCTCAGCGGGCTCAGCGGGCTCGCGTGCTGAATTTTGTGGCTGCCGGACAATTCTCATCGAAACTTTTGTGAAGCTTGATAAACTAGGCCGCCTAAGCCTGTAAGACCTCAGTTGAACCCCACATGCTCGAGATTAGACACTGCTTTCAAATGTGAGAGGCGATGGCATTGGGTATTGCTTTGGAAAACCATTGCGCACTGGATCTCAGAGTGAACCTGGCCTCAACAAGGGGAACTTTTTTGGGGGGTATCGCTGGGTCCGCAAAAAATCTGCTTGCTTTTCATCAGACTCACATGACATCGGCCTCGTCAATGAATTCTGTGGCCCGACACCTGACCTGAGCTTTTCGACCTTCGGTTCCTTGTTCTGCCTCCGAGTAACCCGTATCAATTACGTTGCCTTTCGCGGGCCAGTGTAAACCCCAGACGCCGTAGGAGGTCTCCAGTCCCGAAGGGAAACCTGCCCTTCGAGAAGAATGTTGCCATGGTGCAAGTACCACCCCCCCCTCCCCCCTTGCGGCCTTCGAGGCGTGGACCTTTCTTTGTGGAAGCCTACACGCGGGCTCTTGTAGGATCAGGCCTTTGAAAGATGAATCCCCACAATATTTAAGAGCCTCCGGCTCAAGCCGCCGACCCCGCTGGAGCATAGTTGAAAGGTTTAAACGCGCTCGTCAGCTCAAAGGATCCAAAAGTTGATTTGCTTGAGCCTCTGTGAAACGTTGGGGGGGGGGGGGAGTAGCACCAGGACCCAAACAGGAGCTGAAGCCAGCTTGGGCAGGGCAGCCCCATCAATTGTTGAACAGGCCAAGCCCACACCAACCTTTTCACCCCCATCCAACACGCCGCCAGGGTCGGCGGACCTTACACCCTAAACCCTAAACCCTAAGCCCTAAGCCGTAAACCCTAAGCCCTAAGCCGTAAACCCTAAGCCCTAAGCCCTAAACCCTAAGCCCCAAACCCTAAACCCTAAACCCTAAACCCAAAAACGAGACGACTCTTGGATGCCGGCGCAGATCACCTCTTTGCTCAGAAGCCAGTAGACGGGTCGGATCATTATGGCAGGACCTGGACGCTCCATGCCAAAATGCTTTAGAGTCCGGCCTGGCCTTGTGAGCTCTCCTGTTTCACCACCAAGTCCAGAGAGCCCAATACCCCTTAACTAAGGAATATTCCTTAAACTAGAAAAAGGATCCCTTTTTAAGGAGTTTTTAAGGTTTTAAGCTATATTCCTTACTTACGGGGTTTTGGGCTCTCTGGGAAGTCCAAGAAAGAAACACCGGATGGCAAGCTCAATGGCTTGCGGCAAGCTGAATGGCTTGCAGGCTTCGTTCCCATTTTTCTTTTGGAGGCTAGGTAGGCTCACCGGCGTGACCTCAGATGCCGCTTCGATGTTCAATCTCAACTACTTTCAGCCTCAGTTCGTATCCCTAAACCCTAAACCCTAAACCCCAAACCCCAAATTCCCAAAACTGGGTTTGTTGAGGTCGGGGTCGGACCCTAGGCATGTCCCCGCTGCGCAGCAGCGCCCATGGGCCGAAGTTCGGGAGATCGCCGCTTGCTCGAGGCTGCTGCTGGCGGGCTCAACGCAAGAGCCATGCACATGGCGGACAAGTCTGTCGAACTCTGGCGATCCCCCGGCGGTGTCAAAAAAGGGACTCTTGAGACCCTAACCCTAAACCCTAAACCCTAAACCCTAAACCCTAAACCCTAAACCCTAAACCCTAAACCCTAAACCCTAAACCCTAAACCCTAAACCCTAAACCCTAAACCCTAAACCCTAAACCCTAAACCCTAAGCCCTAAGCCCTAAACCCTAAACCCTAAACCCTAGACCCTAAACCCCAGGAAGGGACCCTCAGGGCCCAGAGCATGTCAAGGCAGCTGCAGATTAGAGGTTTCAGTTAGTGGCATATTGCATTCTCTGGGTTGTTCATCTCACATCGCCCGCGTTGCCGAGAGCTGCCAAGTAACAGGGAGTTAGCCTCGAACCAGAAATCAGGAGGAGTAGTGAGCCCGAGCCCAACAACACAAGGTAGGCCGACACCTGAGCATGAGAGACATTTGTCCTAAACCCGAAACCCTAAACACTAAACCCTAAACCCAAAACTCTAAACCCGAAACCCTAAACTGTTTCAGCCATGGCTCGTGATGTCGGAGGCGCCTCCAAGACAATCTGCCTACGTCTAATGTCCAGGGTCCAAACTCTACAATGTGGAGGGTTTAGGGTTTAGGGTTTAGGGTGGGTATTCCCGAACATAGGGGGCACCCCTATTTGATACCCCAAATAGAATAGAAGCCGCTGACAGGGACCCCCCCCCCCCCCCCCCACGAAAAAAGTGTTTTCGGAAACCCCCATACTGCACCCTAAACCCTAAGCCCTAAACCCTAAACCCTAAACCCTAAACCCTAAACCCTAAACCCTAAACCCTAAACCCTAACCCTAAACCCTAAAAACCCTAAACCCTAAAACCTAAACCCCTAACCCCTAACCCCCAAACCGTAAACCCTAAACCCTAAACGCCGACGGACGGCTGGAGACTCGCTTTCCGCTTTGTCAGGATCCAGCGGCAATCCGAGATGACGGCCGCTCTCGAGCCGCTCAGGCTCGGCTCCCTTTTGTGCCAATCTGTTGCCACGTAGGCAGCGCTTAGGGTTTAGGGTTTAGGGTTTAGGGTTTAGGGTTTAGGGTTTAGGGTTTAGGGTTTACGGTTGAGGGCCAAAGTTTAGGGTTTAGGGTTTAGGCATGTTTAGGCCCTGCAGTAGATGAATTCTGCCTGACGTGGGTGTGGTGGTGATCGTCGAATCGTTGCAGATGCAGCGCCGGGATGTCGTGATGCAGAGCGGTGTGTAGTTGGAATGAACCCAGTTTCGGCCGCTGCTTGCTATTTCGTCACTACAAAGCTCCGCATACAAGAGTTGATGCCTGGCGAGGTCCACTTCGTTCGGGGAGGCGGGAGCTCCTCCCTAAACCCTAAACCCTAAACCCTAAACCCCCTAAACCCCCTAAACCCTAAACCCTAAACCCTAAACCCTAAACCCTAAACCCTAAACCCTAAACCCTGAACCCTGAACCCTAAACCCTAAACCCTAAACCCTAGACGCTCTGCATCCAGATTCTCTTGCTGTGCAGCACTTGACAGGCCAAGCTGGCGGTGGCAGAGCAGCTCTGTGCCACCGAGTGCCCAAGCACCAAAAGCCCTTCGGTTTCGGGTTTAGGGTAGTGATTCTCCGAGGCTGCGAGGGCCTTGTGAGGCTTAGGGGTCTGGGGTTTGGGGTTTAGTTTAGGGTTTAGGGTTTAGGGTTTAGAGTTTAGGGTTTAGGGTTTAGGGCTTAGGGCTTAAGGGCTTAAGGGCTTAAGGGGCCTAAGGGCTTAAGGGCTTAGGGGCTCAAGGGCTTAGGGCTCAAGGGCTCAAGGGCTCAAGGGCTTAAGGGCTTAGGGGCTTAGGGGCTTAAGGGCTTAGGGGCTTAGGGGCTAAAGGGCTCAAGGGCTTCAGGGCTTAGGGCTCAAGTCGGGCTTAAGGGCTTAAGGGCTGAAGGGCTTCAGGGCTCAAGGGCTCGCTTAAGGGCTTAGGGGCTTAAGGGCTTGGGGATTTGCATCCCCGGGGTGTGCGAAGGTTGGAGGCCCAAACCTGGCGTCTGCGCTGCTTCCAGGCCGAGGCCGCCTCCGCGCAGAAAGATTGTCGGTTTAGGGTGTTAGGGTGTTAGGGTGTGGGGTTTTAGGGTGTTAGGGTGTTAGGGTGTAGGGGTGTTAGGGTGTTAGGGTGTTGGGGTGTTAGGGTGTTAGGGTTTTGGGGTGCTCTGGTGTTGGGGTGTTAGGGTGTTAGGGTGTTGGGGTGTTGGGGTGTTGGGGTGTTGGGGTGTTAGGGTTCAGGGTTTAGGGGGTTAGGGATTAGTACGGCTTAGGGTTTAGGGTTGAGGGTGAGGGTTGAGGGTGAGGATTTGGTAGGGTTTGGGGTTCAGGGTTGAGGGCTTAGTAGGGTGTAGGGTTCGGGTTTTATTTAGGGTTTAGCAGGGTTTAGGGTTTAGGGTTTCGCGTATAAGGTTTCGGGTATAGGTTGTTTAGGGGCACCCGTTGTGTACAGTGCGCTAGGCAGCTACATCGGCAATTGAGGCTACACAGCTTCGTAGATCTTCGCTGCGCTGCGCGAAGCGCATGCATCCCAAAAAAAGGTTTAAACCCTAAACCCTAAACCCTAACACCCTACACCCGAACACCCTAACACCCCAACACCCTAACACCCTAACACCCCAACACCCCAACACCCTATCACCCTAGCACCCTAACACCCTAACACCCTAAAACCCTAACACCCTAAACCCTAAACACTCAGCCCCGAAAAGCGAAGGGAAGAAAAGCCTCAGTCATGGAAAGAGGCACGGAGGTTGGGCATCGAGAGGCCTCTGCTTACGCGCCTCCTCTGCGCAGGGCCCTAGATCCCAGAAAAGCAGGAAATGTAAGGGTTTAGGGTTGAGGGTTCAGGGTTCAGGGTTTAGGGCAAGGAAAGGGAAGGACAGGGAAGGAAGGGAAAAACGAATGAGCAGCAAACTCAGAAAAATGGGGGACTCGCGAAAGACAAGCCCACTGGCGAGCCGAAAGGCCTGTAGTAGCCGAAAGGAGTGCGTGCCACACACGCCGCGTGCTGAAAGCAACCAAGCTTTGTATCAATCCAGTATGTCGAGATCTAGCAAGGCTCAGCTGCGCTTACATCGCCTGCATCGGCGGGGAGAACAGCATCCGAGGCGCAAGTTGGCCGGGGGGTTTCTTGGACCTTTCCTGCAGTTTCATCCCAAAGGCCCCCTCATCTCAAATTGCAACGGTAGTGTGCCCGCTGACAATTTCTGCGGGAAGGTGGCCGCAAAACGCAGCAGAGCAGCAGCAGCTGCTGAACAGCCATGCGTCGCTGAAGGCCCGAAGATGCATCTTCTTCCCCAAGCGCCTCATGCACCTCTGAGCCAGGCTCTGGATTTCACGGCGATTGTGCAGGAGGCACCTGTCAGCTTTCTTCTTGTGGGGTTTACCGGCACTCGCCGCGATCCGAGCACCCGCGACTTGAGCACCTGTCGATTTTGGGCGATGCAAGTGCACAGGGCTCGAGCACTGGCGATTCGAGCGTGTCAGCAGGTCCAGAAGCAGCTCGCTTCACACGCAAGCAGCGTTGCCTTTTGGAAGACTCATCGGTCCTTGGTTTTCCTTGTACTGTACCCCTAGACCCCAAGCCCTAAACCCGAAACCCTAAACCCTAAACTCGCGCCTCTTTACCTTTTGATGCCCAGCAGTCTGTTGGGAGGCCAGGGACCGTAAAGCGCACATCCTGTAACGGGAATGCGGTGGGGAAGCCGTTGGAAGATGATCTGCATGAGTTCGCAGCGTGCTGGTTCCACCATACCCCTATGACCCCTATGACACTTGGACCAGCGCCAGCAATCAGCTTGCCGGAAGGCGCACAAAAGCGTTGGATGATTCACGGATGATTCCATTATCGAATTCCACTTCCCACGAGCTGAGCTGAACGAACTCACGTGGAAACACTGAACCACCCCCAAGTTGTTCACTCAGCCAAGCTGAGACAATGAACAAACGGGGGTCTCCGAAAATAGGGAATGTTCCTTCAACAGGATTATATAGTATTTTTTAGGTATTGTCGGAAATCCCCAAATCATTTCGTGTTTCCTTTGCCCACGGTGTTGCCACGCCTGTGCTTTTTGCTCTTCAGGGCTTGACTGCTCATCCGCTTGAGCAAAACAAACTCTGCTAGACCTTCGGCTTCAAGGTAAAAAGAACGACTCCTGTTGTGCTAGGGATCAGGGTTTTCATAGTGTGGATCTGCAGCTTGCCGTGCGCGAATCTGCCGTCCCATGCGCGAATCCCGTTGTTCTAGTGCGCGGATCCGTTTCTCCAGTGTTAAACCCTAAACCCTAAACCCTAAACCCTAAACCCTAAACCCCTAAACCCCTAAACCCCTAAACCTGGCGTATCTCTGGTGCATTTTCATGTTTTGGCCTGCCGCAGACCCTTCGAGATCTGGTGCTGTCGCGCACGGCGGCTGGCCACCTGCAGGTTCGGACCGAGGGTTTAGGGTTTAGGGTTTAGGGTTTAGGGTTTAGGGTTGAGGGTCGTCTTCGTGTAAGCCATGTGGCTACTCGCGTCATGCGTGTGCTGATATTCCAGCTGCAGCGATGCCACACACACGAAGATCCGCGAGTCCATAATGTGGGGGTTTTACAAACATAGGGGACCCCCAAAACAGGCCCCCAAATATATGGATCCCCGTTTTTTTTTTTACGACCCCCCCCCCGAAATTTCGGACACGCCCATGTCATAATGTTGCGTACTGCGCGTCGACCGCCTCGGGCCGGCCGGATGCGGATCAAACAATTTATTTAGGATGAAAACACATTTATTTAGGATCAAAAACAATTATTATGCCGTTCTTCTGAGAAGGAGGGAAGGAAGGAAGGAGGGCAGGAAGGAAGAAAGGAAGGAAGGATGGAAGGAAGAAAGGAACAAAGGGAAAGGAAAAAGGAAGGAAGGAAGGAAGGAAGGAAGGAAGGAAGGAAGGAAGGAAGGAAGGAAGGAAGGAAGGAAGGAAGGAAGGAAGGAAGGAAGGAAGGAAGGAGTATGCTATTTACAGTATTTCCCGAGGAAAAACCAAGGAAAAGTACCGTAAATTATTTTTTGATCCCAAACAATTTTTTTTGATCCCCCCCAAAAAAGTAATGTTTTTGATACCAAAGAAAGTTTTTTGATCCCCTACCCCGAGAATTGCCGCAAGGGGCTTTTGGGTCTAGGCCCTACCAGTACCTGGAAGGTTTCGAGGGTTAGTGGCTCAATGCGCGGCTCGCGTTCGGCGGCTCAATCTGGTTGTCATGCTATCGCCTTGAGCGCCTTGTCACTTCACCACCTTACCATCTTATCATCTCATCTATCATGTTGTCGTGCTGTCATGTTCTCATGTTATTATGGTATAATAGCATAATATTAGCATGTTTCATGTTGTAATGTGGTCACATTTTCATCTTATCTTCATGTATCAGACTGGCATATTGTCATATTGCCATATTGTCATCGTATTATCGTACTATCACACTATCATATGAGCATTTTCTCGTACCATCGAAATACGTGTTGTCATATTAGAGTCTTTTCATATGATCATATTTCCATATCATCATATTGCCGAAGTATCGCATTAATATGTTATAAATATATTTTCAAGTTATCATATTGGTATATGTTGATGTTAGCATGTTTTCGTATTAACATGTTATCACATCATCACATCATATTATCATATTCTCATATTTGAATACTATCATACTAGCAACTATCATACGATGATACTACCAAACCTCTTCTTATTTACGATTGTATCATGTTCTTTATATTCTACCATTATCTGGCTTTCCTGGCCTCTGAAGGACCTGCTGGAGCAAACCTCTCATGAGGTGGCAGAACTGGAGGAGGACAAAGGGACGCCAACAAGCTAGCAAAAGGTACGAAAACAAGGTACTCCCCCCACAAAAAAGGGGAACTGCAAATGTAAGGGTCCAGGTAGGGCACTTGTGGCAAAAGGCACCTCTGACTGCTTCAGCTTGTCCATAGCCTCCTTTCTTGGATCCTCTACAGCCCTCCGACAAGTGATGCCGCACCATAGCTTTAAGACCCTAAGCCCTAAGCCCTAAGCCCTAACCCCTAACCCCTAACCCCTAACCCCTAACCCCTAACCCCTAACCCCTAACCCCTAACCCCTAAGCCGGAGGTTCATTGGTACTCATACGAAGGGTTATAAGTTATAAGGCGAGTAATTATGGCTAAAGCCTTATTTTGGGTACTTATACCCGCACTTGTAAGAACCCATGAATTGAGATGTTCCCCCTTATACTAACAGTCCTTAATAGCGATGAGAGTACCCCCGATGATATTCCCTATTAAGGACTGTTAGTATCATTGGGAACATCCCAGCCCTAAACCTTAAACCCTAAACCCTAAGCCCTAAACCCCAAACCCTGAACCCTGAACCCTAAACCCTAAACCCTAAACCTTAAAACCCCAAGCCAGGGTTCTCCCCAGGAGGCAGCGACCAAGCGTGCACGGGCCACTTCGCTGTCGGATGGGCCGGCTGGCCCCAAACGTCGTACAGGGTTTAGGGTTTCGGGTTTAGGGTTTAGAGTCTAGGGCTCCCGGTTCAAGAAATCAAGCCTGGGGGGAAACGGTTAGGGTTTCGGCTTAGAGGGTTACCATAACATACACCTGCACATGTAAATATATATATATATACATATATGTATATGTAGAACTTTGTTCATGTAGCAACATCTTTAGCAAGAACGTTGTTTCCACATTATAGTTCCTTGAAGCCTGGAGCTTGACCATGGGTTGTCGAATGCCTCAATAAACGGAATGCCGTGCTGCCGCATCGCAGATCATGTTTGGGCACGTGCCATCGTGAGGTTCCACCATGGAAAGAAATCTTTTAGGGACGTTTTTTTTAAGAAATCGCACTTGCAGATTGAATACCTGCCTCCAGCAACACTTGCAGATTGTGTATCCACCTTACACCCTAAACCCTAAACCCTAAACCCAAAACCCAAAACCCAAAACCCTAAACTCTACATTAAAGGCAACCGCTTGACCCCCTGATCTGAGGGCGTCAGCGGAGGACAGCGCCTTTGCTGCGAGGGAGCGCGAGCTCGAGGAAGAGAAGGCGCATGGGACAATGCAGAGCCGCGGTTTAGGGTTTAGGGTTTAGGGTTCAGGGTGTAGGGAACATGTACTGAGAAAGCTTGATTTGGGCTGCAACCCCGCAAACAATTCCTTGCTCATATTGCGGTCGCGCAGAGTTTTCGCCAGAAGCACATGGTGATTTCTCTAAATTATCGTCCCTTTTGGGGTCCGTACCATAAGGCGGCCCCTCTTATTTAGGGCACCCCTAAACCCAAACCCTAAACCCTAAACCCTAAACCCTAAACCCTAAACCCTAAACCCTAAACCCTAAACCCTAAACCCCAAACCCTAAACCCCAAACCCTAAACCCTAAACCCTAAACCCTGAACCCTAACTTAGAGAGCTCACCACATACTGGACGCTTTGCTTGCCTGAGCAGGAGACTGCGCGAAGTTTGGCTGAGAAGCTGCGAGCAAGGCGGCTCCCGTGCTTCCCCTATGGGGGTTTAGGGTTTAGGGTTTAGGGTTTAGGGTTTCGGGTTTAGGGATCTTATTGGGGTCTTATAGGGGAGTCCCACTATTTGGGGTATTCGGGGCCCTTATTGTCGTCCAAACCCCCTTATCATCTCGGAATGCCCCTGACTAGAACACAGCGTCAGCGGGCACTGCGTTTTTTCCCCCAAGACATGGAGGTCTGTTCTGGAGAATGACCTGGCAGAGCAGGCGCCTGCGGCAGAGTTCGGGCCGGCTTCTGTCCCAGCACGACACAAGGAAGCTGAGACCCAACCAGACCTTTCGTCAGTCCGGTGGCGTGCCTTACAGATTGCTTTGGAATATCGGGTTGAGTCGGGCCGGGTTTGACGCCGTTTTATGTCTTGTCAGCCTTTCAGCTGCTTTTAGCTTCATTGGAACATACAGCCAGATGCGGCATGGCCAGCGATCCTTGATGCAACAAGTCACAGGGTATTTAGCTACGGAGCTGCAGTTCAGGGCCCCCCAAAACCCTAAATCCCAAGCCCTAAACCAAGGATGACTGGGGCACTTTTGGGGGTTTACGAAAAAAAGGGACCCTAGAATAGTTCCTCAAATAGTAGGATTCCCCGAGAAAAAAGGACCCTAAACCCTAAACCCTAAACCCTAAACCCTAAACCCTAAACCCTAAACCCTAAACCCTAAACCCTAAACCCTAAACCCTAAACCCTAAACCCTAAACCCTAAACCCTAAACCCTAAACCCTGATTACGAGAATAAGTGCCCCCTTTTGCAGGTGGCTCTTGGCCAGGACCAGGTGGAACGCCTTCAGCGCCAGATCCAGGCGCCTGTCGCATTCGTCCCCGCATTTGGCGGCTGGGGGTTAGGGTTTAGGATTCACCCAGTTTTACAGCAGGTGCCCAAGAAGGGGCGCCAAGGTAGGGAACGCCCCCTCCATGTCACTTAGCGTGCTGACGTCTCCATGACACAGGCGTTTTTGCCGAGCCAGCAGCAGATGCAGCAGGAAGCGCGGCAGGTGCCGGAGCTGTGGCTGCGGTGATTGCGTCCCAGCTGGGACTGCGGCACCGCTTTCTTGTCGAGAGTTATGCCAACTGTCGCGTCCAGGCTCAGCAGGAGTCGGACAAAGCAAGGTCGTTGGCGCAAAGACGCCGCGAGGCTGCTGCCACATTGTGCAAGTGCAAGCACGAGAGGATACACAGGTTTCCGAGCGAATTGTGTTTGGCAGGCCGTGGCCAAGCTTGAGGAGGAGGTTCGCTCGCCAAGAGATGACATGCATGAACACGCCATGTTGCTGCTTTGACAGGCGGTCTGTTGAAGAGGTGTTGTACAGTATAGTCCATTATCGTCCCCATCGCTGCCGCATGTCAGAAACTTCACCCCGTGGGGACGTCGATGCGCTAGGGACTTCCATTGCCAAGGTGCAGCAAGTGGAGCGAAGCCCGTAGCCCAGTTCCGGGCATGTCATTGATGCTGCCGGATCTGAGCCCACGTAGCCCCCCGACCCGGTTCCTAACCCCTACCAGGTGCGGAGGAGGAGCAGTCTGCGGTGAACACCAGGTGGGAGCGCAAGGGCGTCTTACCGTAAATTGCGGTACTGTTCCCTGATTCAAGGGGTAGTGGTCTCTTTGGGCAGCCAAGGAGAATGAATGACTGGTGTGAGTGCTGTCACCGCGTGAGAGGTTGGAGCAGACGCGGACGGAGCTGAACGAAACTTTGGCATCTCGGACGCACCGGGGAGTGTCGCGAAGGGCTGTGGATTCTAAAGTTTCTGCGTAGACAAGCATGCGTCAATGCTTAACCCAGAGAGCCCTTAATTCCAGATCATGTGTCAAACTCTACAAAAAAGGTTTATATTGCGTCAATTGGCGAGTGCAGAAGTTGTTCCTTAAACGCACTTTGGTGAGCATTGCTTGTGTGTGCTGTTGGGGATACCAAAAACACAAACCCGAGTTCTTTTCACGAGCTCAGGCATATTCAGGAAGAGGGGGGGGGTTCTTGGGGTCCCAGTAAAGAGGATTCCTCCCATATTTGTGGGATCTTGACCCCCCGAAGCCTGAGGCCGTGTTCACCCTAAACCCGAACCCTTCACACACGTGCTGCTGACTGCAAGGCCAACACGGCAGAGATAGGCCGGCTGCCGTTGCTCAGACTAGCATGGAAAGCCCAACATACCCCTGACAGGGTTTGGGGTTTCGGGGTGCCCCAGGCCCCCACGCTAGTTCAGGAATTTGCCTTACTTGAATTTCATAGTCACGAAAGCAGTGGTCAGGCATGTTTCAGGTTTAGGGTTTAGGTATAGAGGGTTTAGGGTTTGGGGTTTAGGGTATATTGGGCCGGATGTGTGCAGGTCACGTAGATTGCGTTGAGCTCTGAGACTTGCAGCCGCTTAGCTGCTCCAAGCAGCTACCTGTTGGACCTGATGGGGGTTTGGGGTTTAGGGTTAGGGTTTAGGGTACAGCACAGAATGTATGACAACATAGCAGAGTAGGCTCATACTACAATAGCATAATAGCATGAGAACATAGAATCGAACATGCTAAACTCGCATGGTTTAGTTGTCTTGCAATACATTAGTAGGTTCATATGCTTCCATGTCAACGTAGCAATATGTAGGCAATTCAATATCTTACTATCACAAGAGAGTTGGGCCCAAGTGTAGGGCCAAAGGGGGGAGCGCCTTTGACTGCAGTCCCATGGTCCAAAGCTTGCCGTTCACACATGGACGAGGAATGCAAGGAGCAATGGCAGTTTCTGATCGGGAAGTGGTTGGACTGCAAGCAGCGAGGACATCCGCTGGAAAACCCAAAACCCTAAACCCTAAACCCTAAAACCTAAACCCCAAGCCCCAAGCCCCAAGCCCTAAACCCTAAACCCTAAACCCTAAACCCTAAACCCGAAAGCCTAAAGCCTAAACCCTATAACCTACCAGGGAAAAGCTACGTGGTCAACTGGGCCAGAGGCAAGCCTGACAGCCTCTCTGTGAAGATGCTGAGAGGGGGCAAAGGGGACAGAGGTGGCATAAACGCCGCTTGCTTTGCAGTCTTAATGTTTTTTCTGTAGGCTGTAGGGTTTAGGGTTTAGGGTTTATGGGGATATAGGATATAGGGTATATAGGGTATATAGGGTATATAGGATATATAGGATATATCGGGTTTATAGGGTTTACAGGGTTTATAGGGTTCATAGGGTTTATAGGGTTTGAACCATGGGCCCTTAATTATTTTGGTCCCTTACCCTTGTTTGTACGGATCCGAAGTTTGGGCCCTTAGCGTGTAAAAAAGATTATACAACAAGGGACTCAAAAAAAGGGCCCATGCTTCGGATCCCCTATAAACCCTATAAACCCTACAAACCCTATAAACCCTATAAACCCTATATACCCTATAAACCCTATAAACCCTATATACCCTATATGCCCTATATACCCTTTTTCCCCTATATACCCTATATACCCTCTGACGGAGGTCGTGCTGACTTATGACAAGCCCCGCAACCTCTTGGTGTGGCCGGCGAAGAGAAAGTTCACACTGTGCTTGGACGACTGCGGAGAATCCGTCAGGCGCAATCTTGTCATTTTCAGTTGCTTGCCCCGGCAGAGCATGTCGAATATCAGGGACAGACCCCAAATAGTAGGATCCCCTTACAGTAAGGGCCCAACAAGGTACCCCCCCCCCCCAATATCGTAAACCCCATATTAGTATATTGTAACGGTGTATAATCCTGTGAGGTGGCGTTACCAGGACACGGGTGAGGCAGCCAATGAGTGGAAGCAGGACGGAGGGGGAACCCTACACCCTAAACCCTACACCCTAAACCCTAAACCCTAAACCCTAAACCCTGTGCATTCATCAGCTTTCGGCAATTATAACTTTCCAGAGTCGGCCTTACTTAGGAAGCCTTAAGTCCCAAACCAACAGTGGGTTTAGGGTTTAGGGCAGGGTTTAGGGTTTAGGGTTTAGGGTTTAGGGTTTAGGGTTTAGGGTTTAGGGTTTAGGGCTTAGGGCTTAGGGCTTAGGGTCTAGGGCTTAGGGTTTCGGGGTTTAGGGTTGCGGGGTTTTGGGGTTTAGGGTTTCGGGGGTCTCGCGGGAGCTCTCGGAGTGCTCTCTCAGGAGCCTGTGTCGCGAGCCCCGCTCGACCGCAAGCGGCGCCTGGAAGAGGATCGAGGCGACCCACCAGCCTGAAACCCTCAAGGCCCTGAATCCTAAACCCTAAAGGCCCTGAATCCTACACCCTAAGGCCCTGAATCCTAAACCCTAAAGGCCCTGAATCCTAAATCCTCAACCCCCAAGGCCCTGAAATGGGAGGTTCATGGGTTGGGTTTCAGGGTTCTAGGGTTTCAGGGTTTTGGGGCAGGGTTCTTTTGATTTTAGGGTTTCAGGGTTCTAGGGTTTCAGGGTTTTGGGGGTTTAGGGTTTCAGGATTTTAGGGTTTCAGGGTTTTAGGCTTTAGGGTTTAAGCGTTTTTGAGAATGACGACGGCTGGCTATTTGGTTACCCCGATTCCCGAACGAAGTCCCCACAGGCTTCGGGATAGCCAACTTGCTCCTACAGTATCAGTCGGGATGTTGCCCCGTTTATGCTAACAGTCCTTGATAGGGAAGATAAATAGGGGGTACCATAATCCCTACTAAGGGCTGTAAGTATAAGGGGGAACATCCCAAAGTATCAGTTCAGGGAGTCCACATGAAGCAAACAAGGCGGAAGCTGGCAGCTTGATCTGATTGTTTAGGGTTTAGGGTTTAGGGTTTAGGCTCCCCAGGCCCATGAACCGCCCCCCCCCCCCCTCCCTCCTCTGAGGCCTCTCTGAGCCAGAGGAGCTGGCAAGCGACGACATCTTGGACTCGCCGGAGCTCGACAAGAGCCAGGTCTTCTTCCAGCTGCCTGGCGAAGCAGCCCAGACACACAACCCAAACTTTCAAACCCCAAGCAGCCCTAAGCCCTGAACACTCGAAACCCTAAGCCCTAAGCCCAAAAACCTAAGCCCTAAACCTTAAACCCTAGGCCCTACATATCTTCAGCCCCCAAAAGACCTTCAGCCCGGAACAAGATAGAGCCTAGGTAGGACAAGGAGACCCTTCAAAGGGAACCCTTCTTAACCCTCTTCTGGCTCTCTTCAACATGGACCCTCTTCAGAGGGTCTAGATCAACCCTAAACCCTAAACCCTAAACCCTAAACCCTAAACCCTAAACCCTAAACCCTAAACCCTAAACCCTAAACCCTAAACCCTAAACCCTAAACCCTAAACCCTAAACCCTAAACCCTAACCCCCTAATAGAAAGATTACAAGCTCACGTCTCCTCCATCACGGCCCAGGATCGTGACCTGCGGCAAGGATCGCTTTAAAGATCACCACATGCAGGAGCAGGCCGTTTGCACGAATTTTTTCCCCAAAGGCCCTAAACACCCCCAAATAGGGTTTAGGGAAGTTTAAGGGCATTGCGGGAGTTCTTACCCTAAACCCTAAACCCTAAACCCTAAATCCTAAACCCTAAACCCCAAACCCCGAACCCCAAACCCCAAACCCCAAGCCCTAACCTACCCTAAACTACCCTCAACAGAGTTTAGGGGCTTCAGGGAACCTGCGCGCAACCCGAAGGCCATCGTTTTTGACGTCAGGGACTTCCACGACCCTGGAGCTGGCGAGCTGAAGCACCACGATGGGCGCCACGATGAAATCATCACTCGCATCCGGCGGCTCGAAGGAGTTTAGGGTTTAGGGTTTAGGGTTTAGGGTCTAGGGTATTTCAGGGGCTTTTAGGCTTTTGCATGTTGGTTATTTATGTTTTTTTTTTTGGGGGGGGGGGGGTAGGTGGTGGGTGGGTGGGTGGGTGGCTGGGTGGGTTTTTAGTGCTTGTCAAGGTGTTTCGGGACTTTTTTAGATTTTTCATGTTTTTTGTTTTTGTTTGGGGCAGGGGGGTGATTATGGTTACTCTCCCAAAATGCTTCCGCACCCCGGGGGAAACCCCTTATCCCGTGAGATGAACACTACACCCTAAACCCTCAACCTTGAACCCGAGGTCTGAGACCCTAAACCCTAAACCCTAAACCCTAAACCCTAAACCCTAAACCCTAAACCCTAAACCCTAAACCCTAAACCCTAAACCCTAAACCTAAACCCTAAACCCTAAACCCTAAACCTTAAACCCTAAACCCTAAACCCTGAGGCAGCACGGCTCCTTCGCTTCCTTAGTCGCCAGCCTTCGTCGCCGCATTCGCAGAGCAGTTGAAGGCAGCCCATGGTCGCTTGCCTTAGGGTTTAGGGTTTGGGGTTTGGGGTTTAGGGTTTAGGGTTTAGGTTTAGGGCTTGGGGGTTAGGGTTTAGGGTCAGGCTTGAGGGTTTTAGGATTCAGGGGTTTATAGGGGTTCATGGGTTTAGGGAAGTTCACAGGAGGTTTTTTATGGCTTATAGGGTTTACAGGGGTGTGGGGGATTCATGGGCATTAGAGTTTCGGGTTTATAAGGTTTGTGAGTGTTTGGGTTTGTTGGGGGTTTAGGGTTTGTAGGGTCTACAGGGTTTATAGGGTTTAGGGTCTAGGGTCTAGGGTTTACAGGGTGTGACTTTCTAGAGCTCTCCAAGCGTGCGCCTTGAGCACACTGTTCAGGTTTCAGGGTGCCCTAACCCTAAACCCTCAACCCTCAACCCGAAAACCTCAACCCGAAACCCTAGACCCTAAACCCTAAAAACCCCAAAACCCTAGACCCTAAACCCCCAAGCTCGACGCCCTGAATGGAATGTTATGGGCAGCTCGGCGCCCGGGCTTCCCGAGGCCCGGCCTCCATCAAGATCGTGTTCTACTGCAAGTCGGGCGCCACCGCTCGGTGGCGTTGGCACGATCTTCAATCTACATCCTGCTGTACGAGAACTTCCGACTCTTGGGCTCAACTCGGTTGAGGGTAGAGGGCCTCCTGAAACATCGGTTTCGGCCGCGGCAGACAGAGAGACGAGAGAGAGAGAGAGAGAGAGAGAGAGAGCGAGAGAAAGAGAGCGAGAGAGAGAGAGCGAGAGATAGAGCGATAGGGAGAGAGAGAGAGAGAGAGAGAGAGAGAGAGAGAGAGATAGTGAGAGAGATAGTGAGAGAATGCACCCAACTAATCAGCAACCACCGTGCTGAGGGGTGATCCCCTAGCCCCCCGAAAGAAGGGAAGATGCCAACCAGTGCAGATCCAAGGTAACACGAAACTGGAACATGAAGGCAACTTTGATGGCTTCGTGTGCTGCCAGTGCGGGAGGTGGGAAGGCAATCGCGAGTTTAGCGGTTCACGGGTTTTCCCGAGTCCTTAAACCCTCGAATAAACAATGGTAGCAGTGGTAGCAATAACAAGACTGGTAGCCCCCTAGCCCTAAAACCGTAAACCGTAAAACCCTAAACCTAGACCCGAAACCCTAGACCCTAAGCCCTAAGCCCTGGCAGGTGCAGGTGCAGGACAGCTTTGCGACTGCAAGCCTGTGAAGACGCGCTGCGCGAATGGAAGAGACGTAGCTTCTCAGCTAGCACTTAGGGTGTAGGGTTTAGGGTTCAGTTTGCAAGACAAACGGCAGATTGAACATAGTCTAAGATTCGCAGTCGTGACTATATGAATATCACGCGCTTTTTGTTTTGGGGAGTTTAGGAGTTTCGTGGTTTCAGGTTTGGAGGTTTTGCTTGTTTGCTTTGACTGTCTGCTGATGCCCAGGACCAAGCGCAGCTGCTTGAGTGGGACGCTGCTCTTTGTTCGCCAGCATGGCATACCCGCAAGCCAGTGCCAAGCAGAAAAGAACACCCAACCTGTCAAATTTGCCCTAAACCCTAAACCCTAAGAGCACAGAAGCTCTCTGTGCTTTGGTGACGAATTGTCGGGCAGGTGAGCAAGCGCGGAAGGCGCAAACCAGTCACAACAGACAGATGAAGGCCAGAATCTTCGGGTTAGGGTTTAGGGGCAGTTTTGGGTTAAGGGCTTGTGGCTTGTCAGTGCAGTGTGACCACTGCCCCCCTCCAAGACTCTTGAAGCCGAACCCCAAACCCGTAGCAGCCTTCCTCAGCTACCTCCATAGGGGTATTTGATTTGAGAACCCGCCCCCCCTCCCCCCGGCCCTCATGGTGGACCCGAAACCCTAAACTCTAAACCCTAAACCCTCCTAAACCCTAAACCCTAAACCCTAAACCCTTAAACCCTAAACCCAAAATATGGAGGCTGTCAAGACGGATGGGAGCACGCTGCGGGAAGCGTGGCGGGCCGAGCTGCTGTTGCCCAGTTGCTGTTTGCCCGACCTGCCGCGGCGGGAGCACATATCTTTTCATGGTTTAGGGTTTAGGGTTTAGGGTTTAGGGAGGGCTTGAGGGTCTTTATCTTAAGGGATATAAGTTAGGGACCCCCACTACAACTGACCCTTAGTCTTCTTCCCCCATATAGCCTCTATGTATACCTTGACAATCGAGCTCCAGGGTTTAGGGTTTCAGCTCGTTGGAAGATGAGGCTGGCGGACGTGGGCCGGGAGAAGGAGGACATGGAGGTCTCCGAGCACGTTCTCCCCGGAACCCTGACTTCTCAGGGTTCTCATGATGAAGTATTGTGGATGATTCTAAAACCTAAACCCTAAACCCTAAACCCTAAACCCTAAACCCTAAACCCTAAACCCTAAACCCTAAACCCTAAACCCTAGACCCTAAACCCTTTGTAAACCCTGAACCCTACACCCTAAACTCGAAGCCGCCCGCCTCTGCCTTTCTGCGCCCCGTCGTCGCACTCCCTCGCATCCCTCGCATGGAGGCGCAGCTCTCCCACCTCAGAGACACTGTGGGAAGCCGCACCCCCAGAGTTCAGGGTTTAGGGTTTAGGGTTTAGGGTTTAGGGTTTAGGGTTTAGGGTTTAGGGTTTAGGGTTTAGGGTTCAGGGTTTAGGGTTTAGGGTCTTTGGGCACCCCCAGAGTGGAGGAGTTCAGCTTTCTCGGGTGAGTGGGTTTTGCCGGGTGTTTAGGGTTCTGCGGCTGCAGGTTTAGGCTTTTTAGGGTTTAAGGGTGTTCAGGGTTTAGGGGTTTCCAGGGTGTTTTCAGTGTTTTTCGGGTTTTCAGGCTTTTCCGGATGTTTAAGGGCGTTTAGGGGTCTTCGGGTTTAGGGGACGCCCCCCCCGTAGGCTTCCCAACCCCGAAGCCCTGAGCCTTCAGCCTCCAGGGATGAGGACTCGTACCCCTAAGGTTGTACCCCTGAAGGTTCCCCTTAAAAAACACTCCTAATATGGCCCTACATGATGTTAGGGATCCTTAAAAAGGGGCCCCGAAACTCAAAGGGTACAACCTTAAGGGTCCAAGGTAGAACCCCTAAACCCTAAACCCTAAACCCTAAACCCTAAACCCTAAACCCTAAACCCTAAACCCTAAACCCTAAACCCTAAACCCTAAACCCTAGACCCGCAGGCGCCTCCGCGGCCGACCGGGAGCGCCAGGAGCGCCTGGCTGAGGCAGAGGCCGGCAACAAGGCGCCTTCCAGCTTGCAGCAGTGCTTACGGTTTAGGGTTTAGGGTTTAGGGTTTCGGGTTTCGGGTTTAGGGTTCATGGTTTAGGGTTCAGTCTTTGTTTTAAAGGGGTTAGGGGGTGGTGTGCATCTCCAGCAGCAACTGTCAGCTCATCACGAATTTGTAGGGGGTTAAGGTGGCGAGCGTGGTGGGGTTCTGAGAAGATGGAGGTTTCCGAAGAAAAGAAGGTGCTCCCCGTCAGACATCGTTTAGATGTGCCGTCAAGAGCGGGACCGCAGTTAATGATTATAAGGAGGAGTGTGTATATATATATATATATATACAGTATATAATATGATACCTGGAAAGGACTATGCAGGGGCTCTTAATTGATGTATTGAGGCATGTTCCTTCGCCTGCAAAACAGTGGGCTCTTTCAGGACCAGCTCGGGGCTGTGAGACCGCCGCAGCTTTCGGCTCTAGAGTTGGGGCGCTCATGCTCATGCGATGAGCGCGAGGTGTGGCCTACGATCATGCAACTAAGGACCCCAATAAGGCACCCTGATTGTCGGAAACCACCATATCTATCTATATATATATATATATATATATATACATATATACATATATATATATGTGTCTTTTTATACATACATACATATACATATACAACAAATAAATGTAAATGTCGATAAATATAAGTCTAAGTAGACAAAATCAATAAACGCACAAATACAAAATCATACCTTGTCGGAATGGCGTCCGGTGAGAGCAACGGCTTCGAGGAGCCCGTGAAGTTGGAGCTGCCATCGGACGACTGGACCTCGGTGCTGCTGTTGTCAGGCCCCTTGGAACTGGGGGGAGACTCCCCCGCAAGAACCCTCAAATCTTCAGACGAACCCGAAAATTCACACCAAGCCCCCCCCCCCCCCCCCCCCCCCCCCCCCCAAAAAATAAAAAAAAAAACCTCAATGGCCCACCCTGAGGGTCCTGGGCCCTGGCCTTCGCCATCTTCGCCTCGAATGTGGCCACCCTCACGCTCGCTGTCGCCCGCACATCGCCAGCGGTGGAACTCGAGACGCTCCCTCTGGGCCTGGCGCTGGTGATGCAAGGACTGCGAATAATTCGGTTTAGGGTTTAGGGATTAGGGTGTAGGGTCTAGGGGTACTGCCAGTAGTGCGGGGTTTCCCCAGTTCCCAAGTTTAGGGATACCCTTGATATTCAAAAAATGACAAAGCCCGGGTATAGGGGATAGGGTTCAGGGTTTTCTCCTTCATTGCAGCGCTTTGGGTACCTAGTATGCTAATTATAGAAGGGAGAGCTTAGCTACCTGCCTAGACCCTGCTGGAAGTTTGTCCTTGCCCTCAAGGTGTTGGAACCATGGCGCTTCCGGCAAAGGTGCGCTACATCGGGCGCAAGTACATGCAACTCGCCCCGTATTTATTCTCGCATGTGGTCTTTAGTTCTGTGCACTGCCACACTGTATCTTCTGCTGGGTCTTCTCATGAACCCTCAACCCTCAACCCTAAACCTCTACTTGGAGGTTCCAAGGTACTTACAAGTAGGGTTATAAGTAGTGAACCATGGTTACGGTTTAGACTAGGGGGGCCTCAGGGTTTTTTGGGTTTTAGGATACTGTTTGGAGTGAAGGGAATAACTGATGACAGACCGGTTGCACATACATGAAAACCTAAACCCTGCTCAACTACAGCCTCTGAAATAACTTGCCGACAGCTGAAGAGGCTGTTAGAAGTTCCTGATGAAAATTGGTGAGTGTGACAGCGGGGTGTTCTCTTTGGGGAGACTTAGTGCCTAACAAAACGCACCATTCCGATCCCCCCTCCAAAGTGCATTGGTCTAAACAAATCCACAGGGGAGAGCATCAAAAAAGGCACTGGAAGGTATTAGGAAAGGTCCCCCAAAAAGGATACCCCCAAATAAGACCCTGGTGTTCTGGACAGGGTGGGGGGAAAGCTCCAGAAGGCCCAAAGAGTCCCCGCCAAAAGGCTGCCACATTCAAAGTGGCAAGAAACAACCCCTAGCGTTTAAGACACTTTTCGACGTTCCCCCCCTCACCCAATCACGCCTCATCAAAAAAATCCATTGGAAAGCACGCTCCAAGACGGAAACTGCCGGTCAACACGCTTCGGTCAAGACTGCTTTGGATCAGAACTCTAGGTTAACCCCTAAACCCTAAACCCTAAACCCTAAACCCTAAACCCTAAACCCTAAACCCTAAACCCTAAAAACCCTAAACCCTAAACCCCAAACTTTACAACCCGCAGGTATCTCGCGGGCGCGGTGGTGGGGCTCCTGAGCTGCGCGGCGCTCGCGCTGGGCTCCTGGCTGCTGGACTTCGGCCTCCAATGCCTCGGTGCCGCTCTGCTAGGCCATGCCAAGGGCTTCGGGTAGCCCTAAACCCTAAACCCTAAACCCTAAACCCTAAACCCTAAACCCTAAACCCTAAACCCTAAACCCTGAACCCTGAACCCTGAACCCCAAACCCTAAACCCTAAACCCTCAACCCTCAACCCTAAACCCTAAACCCTACCTAGCAGCATGGTAGGATTGCACATGAGCAAGGGTAGTTTCACGGGCCCTTCGTATGCTCCCTTACCTCCTCTACAGGGTTCTGAAGTATGCGCCCTGGGTGGCCACCCTAAACCCTAAACCCTAAACCCTAGACCCTAAGCCCTAAACCCTAAACCCTAAACCCTAAACCCTAAACCCTAAACCCTAAACCCTAAACCCTAAACCCTAAACCGGCCATGCTCTACTTTGCCTTGTGCCTTGCGGACCCTGGGGAGGGTACAGCTTCGCGCACGCGCAGAACTACCGCTTCGGCGCCATCCAGGCGATGCCCTCCAACCCACCGCGTGCCATCAGCCTGGTGCTCTTTGGGGGTGTGGTGGGAGCGCCCTGGGGGCACCCTGCTTATAGCTTTTGAAGATAAATGCTACGATGTGCTGCGCTTCTGGTCCCAGGAGCTGAATCCTAAACCCTAAACCCTAAGCCCTAAACCCTAAACCCCCAACCTACACCCTAAACCCTAAACCGGAAAGAGCATTTCTAAGGCGCTGCTGGGCCCGGGGGCCATCTCGCAGGCACGGGATCTGCCACTTGCCCACGCTTACGTAAGAGTGGCGAGCCCAGCCAGTTTGGCGGAGCCGCTGCAGTCTGGGCCTTTCCCAAATCGGAGAGTTACGAAAATCAGGGATCCTATAAATGACCTCCAAGTAGTAGGATTCCCTTATAATCGGGACCCCAATAAGGTACCCCTAATGTCGTAAAGCCCCAAGTAGGGTCCCCTTAGTTTTCTTTTCCCCAAGAACCATAGTCCGCACTCTGGGCCCCCTAAACCCCCTAAACCCCCCAAACCCCTTAACCCCCCAAACCCCCTAAACCCCCTAACCCCCTAAGCCCCCATCTTGCCCAGGCTCCCAGTACCGTTCATGGGAATCTATCTGTGCCTGGGCGGCGTGGGGATGGATGTCCTCATCAAGAGTGGGTCAGGATTTAGGGTTTGGGGTTTAGGGCCTCCCAAATCCAGTAAGAATGAGACGGATAAAGATGGAGAAACGAGAAGAATAGTGATGTTATGAACAATGAGATGTACGATAGTAAGGGTATGAATGTTTATTCGCTAGCCCAAAGATCTGCCAACGAGCCCTTTATCCCTTATCCCTAAACCCTAAACCCTAAACCCTAAACCCTAAACCCTAAACCCTAAACCCTAAACCCTAAACCCTTTATACTTGGCTTCGGCCCTGACCAGAGAGGCCAGGACTCGTCAACGAAGGAAATCTGCTTTGGGGGAGGTTCAAGCCCTCTAAACCCTAAACCCTAAACCCCAAACCCTAAACCCTAAACCCTAAACCCTAAACCCTAAACCCTAAACCCTAAACCCCAAACCCTAAACCCCAAACCCTTAACCCCAAACCCTTAACCCCAAAACCCTAAAACCCTAAAACCCCAAACCCCAAACAAACAAGCCCCCCAGGTGCGGGGCTGTTCTCAACCTCCTGGCCTTGCTGCTCCTGAGCTTCTTTGTCATAGTTGGGTAACATTTTCACATTCTTAAGGGTACTTAAACCCAACAAGGAAGAACAATTTACACTCTTAAGGGTACTTAAACCCAATAACGAATAACAGCTTCGATTGTTAATATTATCCCAACCATGAACTAGGCTTCGTTCGGCTTCCGGAAGGGTCCGCTGCGCAGCCGAAGGCTGCCATGGGCCAGCCGAGGTCCCTCAGACAGAGCCTGGGCTTGCGAAGCTTGATATGATGGGTTTAGGGTGTAGGGTTTCGGGTTTAGGGTTTAGGGTTTAGGGTTTAGGGTTCAGGGTTGACTAGGACAGTCCCTTCAAAGAGTAGGATTCCCTTGAATAATAAGGGCATAAGGGCCCCGATTAGGTACCCCGAATTTCGGAAGGCCACGTATTCTGGCCGGCTCTTGTAGAAGTCCGGGTTTGTCATGTGGGTTTCTTTGTGGAATGTTCTGAAATCTCTCCTTGCTCTGTTTAGGGTTTAGGGTTTAGGGTTTAGGGTTTCCATCTTCAACAGGTTGCTTCTCCAGCCACGGTGTGGTGCAGCCATCGTCGCCCTGGTCGCCTCCTACTGCATCATGCTGATGCTGATGGCACCCACGCCCGCTGTCATGAAGAACCAGTACAGCCACTCCTTCACCGCGTCCACGCTGACGATGATGGGGCACATGTGCCTTGGAGCTGCAAGGAGGGGAGATTTTCTTTCCGAGGCTTCCTCCACCCGCCCTTTTCCCCTTCCCTGCCACCAGTGCTGAAACAATGAAACGAAGGAAGCGATGTGAGTATTGATCTTAAGGAGCGTGTACCAGATCAAGAAATCAAAAACAGGGAGGTATCCTGAGGACAGGAAAATGTGCCTACGAGTTATTGTCGAAAGTTCTTGCGCAAGCAACGTCTGACGTGAATCTGCCATAGTGTTCGACTTCTGCCGAAGGTGAAGGACATCTTTGGTGTTTGTTTTTTGTCTTCTCGCTCATAACTTGCAGGCACAATTCCGAGTCACGAAGCCTACGGTTGATCGGAGAATCACATCTGAGATTGAAACCCCTGCCGAGACATCAGGCTCAGAGGGAAGTGGCAAGTGGCAAAATAATCCAGCTGTGTTTGCAGAGACTTCGAAAGTTCCCCACTAAAGTCTGGTGCAAGTCCAGGGCATCATTTCTAGGCAGGGGCTCAACAGGCCCTGTTTTTGAGTCTGGCGTCCTTCAGCGTCCTTCCCTCGCACACAAGGCAAACGCATAGCAGAGAGACCCTAAACCCTAACCTTGGGATGTTCCCCCTTATACGAACCGTCCTTAACAGAGATGATAGTACCCCTTACTATAACCCCTATCAAGGACTGTTCGTATAAGGGTAAACTCCAGGCCTCAAGGGCAGCAACCGCGCTGTCAGGTTCTGCATGTTCGCACCTGCGCCCCTTACTGGCCTGGTCATGGCGAGGGTGGGAGCCATGCCGGTGATTGTGGCTGGGATTATCTGCGCTGCCCTGACAGCCACTGTGTGCCTTTGGCCAAGATTCCAGACCGTTACGCAACTGGCGTAGAGTTCGGGGTGCTAGGGTTTGGGATTCTTGGGGTTTGCAGGTTTTGGGGTTTGGAGTTTAGGGACGGGTTTGGGGTGTTTAGGGTTTTGGGGTTTGGAGTTTAGGGTTTAGGGTTCGGGTTGAGGGTCTTGCGGTTTCAGCACCAGGGCACGGTGCATGATGGCTCTAGGATCCCCCCAATATATAGAGCAGCCTTGGTGTTGCCTTTGCTTAGAGCGGCAAGGGGAGGTTCTGAGTCCAATGAGATTCAAGAACCCACAATGCTTTGGTTTCAGTCCGTCGAACGTATGCAAATGCCATCATGCTCAGACATGCTCAGACTCTGAAGGCTTCAAGCGGCGCACCGCTGCATGCAAGCAAAGCACTGCTTGCCTGTAGATGTCCTGCTGTCGGAAGCTAAGGCTCTACCTTGGCACTGGTCTCTCATACTTTGTGGTTGGCATGGCGTTGCTTGGCTTTGCAACTTGGACAGCAGCAATGCAGAGGGCACCCTCCCCCCTAGGACCAAAGCCTACGCCCACTGACACTTTATGGAAGGTCTGCTGGGCAGAGCATTCGCAACTCCAAACTGGAATGGACTGTGCTACTTCTTTTTCAGAACAAGCCAAGATTCAGAGAACCTCCTGAAATCTACAGTCTGCAGTCCAAAGTCGCTGGGGGTGAAGGGATGCACTCTCTTATCCAATGCAAAGGAAAGTTTTGTAATACCCAATCGTATACAATCAAAACATGCAATGCTATGCAGCAATGTAGAATAACGTAACATATCATATAACCGTATAATTGTAATGTCTAATCGTGTTTCAGATTTTCCTGTAGAATGTGGGGTGTAGATTTTTGGAGCATGCGTGCTGCCTGTGATCTTTCTTGCCACCCTAGGACATAAACCCCAGCCCCCTCAACCCTAAACCCTAACTTAAACCCTGAACCCTGAACCCTGAACCCTGAACCCTAACTCCTAAACCCTGAACCCTGAACCCTGAACCCTGAACCCTAAACCCCAAGCCCTAAACCCTAAACCCTAAACCCTAAGCCTGAAGGCATGGAACTTCATGTACATTGGCGGCTCCGCGCTGCTCACGAAGGCGCACACCCCTGCGGAGGGCCCCAAGCTGCAGGCAGTGACTGCAGCTGGGCAAGATGTAAGGATGTGGGGGTTTAGGGTTTAGGGTTTAGGGTTTAGGGTTTAGGGTTTAGGGTTTAGGGTTTAGGGGGTTTACGATGGTAGGGGTACCTTCTTGGGGTCAATATGATAAGGGATCCCTACTTTTTGGGGGGCGATATCAGGGGCGCCCCTAAGATCGTAAACCCCCATGTCGTTCCTTGTCGTTTAGGGCTTAGGAGGTTTTCGGGCAGAGGGGTTGCTCTAAATTCCGGGACCGACATGCGTTCTTATTGCAAACGCCTACACCGGGCCGCCTCGGGCCTCGGGCCGCCCGGTGCCGTCTGCGCATAGCAGACTAAGGAAAGCTTAGCACCACACACTCCCAGCGGGTCCCAGACAGGGGGTCCGAGGCGGGGGGCGAAAAGAGAGACACAAGAAGGGTCAACTTGGAACAAGTAAATTCCCAGTATGTTTGGAGCCTACCATGGGGTGCGCTCTTTTTTGCAGCGCGGAGTTTCACTTTGAGCGAGGGAGGTGGCAATCCGCAAGTCCACAGAGCATGATGACAGCTGACGGCCAAGGACTGTCTGGTCAATCTGGGGGCAGCCGTCTTCACGCTCCTCTCCATGCCCATTGTGTCCAGCATAGGTGCGCTCGCAAGAATGGGACGGCTTGCGCTAACGTTGACTCGGAAGCTAGAAATACTTGCCAGACCCAGAGAGCCCAATACGCCTGAATTAAGGAATATAGCCTAAATAATATTAATTACTAGTAATAATAAGCATAATAATAATAACAATAATATTATAATAACTAAAGGGCTCCTTATTTTGATTTTTAAGGAATATTCCTTCATGAAGGGGAATTGGGCTCTTCGGGGAGAGCAGGGCGTTTTGAAGCAGAGCCGTCAAGGGACGGCCAAGCCCTGAAGCCGAAACCCTTGGACCCTGAACCCTGCCTCCCGAAACCCTAAACCCTCAACCCTCAACCCTCAACCCTCAACCCTCAACCCTCAACCCTACACCCTACACCCTACACCCTACACCCTACACCCTACACCCTACACCCTAAACCCTAAACCCTAAACCCTAAACCCTGAAGGCTGGGCTCCTACACAGTTCCTGACCTTGGCAATGACCGGAACCACCGCGCCCTGACTTGAGGGTTTAGGGTTTAGGGTTTAGGGTTTAG